ATTATAAAAAAGAAAATTACTACATAGCATTATAGTTTTTCTTTTTTTGACCACTAGGACTAAGTTCAACTTATAATGAACTTCCTTTTAAATGTTCAAGCATTTCTTTTAGGTCAAATAATCATATTCACAACTAAAAACTATGTGAAAACCTCGTAAACATAAAGTGTCTATAAATAGCTTAATAATCGTCAAAATTGTATATGAAAAATATAAATTTTCTATCCAAATTTCAAGTCTCAAGGAATATTTTTAACTAAATTACAAAAAAAAAAGCTGTGGGGAGCTACAAAAAATAATGGGGACGGGTGCAGCCACTGTCATAATTATTTAATATATATATATATGTATATAAGCAACGATTAACAATTGCTAAAGAAAAAACGATTCTGAGTGGAGTTCGGTTGGTAGTGCTGCTTTATCAACAATATATGTCATATTATGGTGAAATAATTACATATGCATTTTATTTAATTATATTTGTTTAATATAGTACCTATTTTACCGTTTTTCATATTTACCATGAAAATAGCTAGGAAAATCAAAAAATGACCTCCCTAAAGTATCCCTCCAGTCAGATTTCCTTTTAGAAAAACTGCTACACTTGTAAATCTTAGCAATATTTCTAGTAAACAAATTATTCGCAGATAAAAAAAATAATAAACATCATCGTGAAACCAGTACATTTATCATTCCACTCAGAATCTAAAATAAAATTGAAAATAATAAAAACATCGTTTTTGTACATTTTCCCTTTCTCCAAATTTTTTTTTCGGTTTGGCTCAATTATTAAAAAAACTGCACGGAAAATCAAAACACGACTCTCTTATTCACCAACTAAATTAAAAATGTAACAACAATGACCACTTGTAATTTTTTTTTGGAACAATATTTCTGGTAGAAAACATAAAGCGTACAAATTTAAAATAATGAAATCATAACGCTATAAATTTGTCAATTTTCATTTTCCGTCTTCTTCCGGGTTTTCTCAATTATTATGAAAACTGCTTGGAAAATCAAAAAATAACTTTTTTTGTGAACACTTCGATCAAAAACAAAAAAGTATTTTGGCATTTTCGATTTAAGCTTTATTTCTGGTAGAAAAGAGTTTATAAAAATTACAAACAACGACATATATAACCCCACGGTACACCGTAAATATTTGTCGTTTTTCCACTATTCTTTCCCCCAGGTAATACCAATTATCATGGATACCCATAAGAAATTCAAAAAGTGACCTTCCTAATGCACTAACTAGATAAAATTTCCTTTCAGAAAAGATGCTGCACTTGGTACATTAGAGCAAGTTTTCCAATTGAAAAGTTGCTCACGGACACAAAAAAAAACAACACATCATAGAACCAATAAAACCCTTGCTATGTTTCAAAACTTAAATATGCAAACAATATGCAGTATTGGTAAACAAGTTTATATCAAATAAATGAACCTAAAAAAAATAGATGGTCATATCGCTACACAAATTTTCAAATAATCATTGAAAATTATTCTACTATATTAAAGTTTTGAAAGAAGAAATTGAAAATGACTGACACACTTCGCACGATGGGTGAACCACTGTCGTAAGTGAGAAGTTTAGAAGGTGAGGTGAAATTGTATGTATATCTGTATATTTGTACATAATAATTAATCATCGCTAACGGAAAATGATTCTGAGCAGATTTCAGTAATGTATATTTTGAATGGCCGAAATACGTACGATTTGAAAAAAAAAAATTTTGTAAATATTTCGGTTTTTTCCCATTTATTGAGAAAACTCCTGGGAAAATCAACAAATGAGCTCCCTTAAGTACCACCCCAGAAAAATTCCCTTTCAAAAAAAGTGCTGTACTTAACACTTCGGAGCAAGATTTCTGGTAGAATTTGTATACACAGTATATAAAAAAAAAACATCATTGTAAAACCAATTCGTTCCTCGTTCCGATCAGAAACAAAAGCTTATGACAAAGATGTAACAAAAGCTATTAGTATGTTTATTTTTAATTAATATTTTCATCAAATAAAAGCTATTTAATCTCATCACGTTATTTTTATGCAATTTAATAACAATTAAAAAAAAGACGTACTTCGCACAATTGAGCGTAGGTATCACCTCGTCTGAATACAGAATGATTTTTTTTATCATGAACCAGCAATTATCTCGGAGTTTTTTTAAGTTAATTTGATTTTTGTTTTTTCTAATCAATATGCAATCGTTTAAGCTTTATTGAAAACAATTTTTAATTTTTTACCCCTACTCCATGTACCTAAATAAGTATATACTTTTGATTTTCAAATATGAACACCTCTTTTCTTTTGAACGCAGATTTGATTACATTTTGATATACATAACACTAAAATCAGATTTATCGTTTATAAGTTATAACAGTTTAAAGTTTAGACCGGAGAACTAGGGAAGGGTAATAAATTGCCTATCTGTAATCCATCCTTATTCCTCCTATTTGAAGGGGGTTCCTATTAGAAAATCGCAATATGTACTTATTTAAGGTATATGGAATAGGGGTAAAAATTTAAAAATGGTTTTAAAATAAAGTTTAAATGAATCCATAATGATTAGAAAAAACAGAAATAAAATTCACTTAAAATCCTCTGAGATAATTGCTGGTTCATGATAAAAAAAAAATCACCCTGTATACATGTAGATAATTTTTCAATGCTTAATAATTTATATTATTTTTTTATTAATATTAAACATAATCAATGGGAAGGGGTGAGAGCAGAAACACACTTATTCCCACCTTGGATACGCCACTGCCTATGATATAACTAGTTTCCAAAGTTTTAACCTGAATTAGACAATTAAAAAAAAAAAATTAGAAATAAATGTATTAAAAATTGTAAATAAATAAAACATTAAATGACTTTCCCTAATGCAACGACTAAACAAAATGTTCTACCAAAATCCACCTCTTAACTTATTTATCTGAATATGATTTCTGGTAGAAAAGTGGTTTACATACAGAAAAACAGAATAAATGTAGATTAAAACATACTTCGCACAATAGGTGGATGAGAAGTAAAGAATATATAGAAGGGAATTTAATGTATATCTGTTATCAAAAAATAATGCCTAATCTCCCTAAAGTACCTTATAGATAACATTTCGTTTTAGAAAAAATGTTATACTTGATACATTGGAGCGAGATTTCTGATATAAACGTTTGTACAAATCGAAGAGTATTTTTCGATTAAAATAGACCGAGCGAGCGATGGCTTTGGTTCCTAGAGGTACCCAAATTTTTTTTTTGAAACTCGAGTTTGAACTTGTAATCTTTGGGATGACAACAGGTCTCACTACTAGACTACGGCAGACATAATGATTAGTAATATTTATGAGAAATTTAATATTTCTTTTACGTTTGTATTAATTTATTTTTAGATTCGGAATTGATGAGCCAAAAATCAATTAAAGCTTTATTAGGTGTGTTTTTTATTTTATTAGATTTTTTTTATTGTCTATGAGTCATATAATAAATAAAAAACACTCCAATATACCAAGTGTAGCATCTTTTCTAAAAGGAAATTTTATCTAATTAGTGCATTGGGAAGGTAATTTTTTGATTTTCCGAAGGATTTTCATAATAATTAGAAAAAACCTGAACAAAAATTGTAGGTAAAATATAACAAAATTTACGACACGTCGAGCAAATGCCCGGTGGCCTATGAATGACCCAGTGTTCAAAATTAAATGTTTTAGATTCTGCGAAGAAGCTTATGGATTTACAAAGATGTTTAATTTTTATTTTTTATCTGTGCGCAACTTTTCTACCAGTAATTTTGTTCCAATAATAGCAATTTTCCTTAAAGGAAATCTAACTGGGGAGGAACTTTAAAAAGACCATTTTTCGATTTTTCAAAGAGTTTACTCAATAAATAAACAGAGGACAACTGCTAAAATGTAAAAAAAAATGTAGGTATTAGTTAAAATATATTACGGCTTTTTTTTTTCTGTGAATAACTTTTCTACAAGCAATTTGGCTCTGATTTATAATGATAGCAATTTTTCTGAAATCAAATTTGACTGGAAAAGTACTTTAGGGAGGTCATTTTTTGATTTTCCCAAGTTTTCCCAGCTAGTGTGAAAAACTGAGAAAAAACAAGGGAGTCAGTACAAAATTGTCAGTAACAATGGTTCCCGTTCCATTATCCTAGGACGTTATTTTGTTTTTATTACTTTAAAGAAAAAACATTGTTTGAAAATGAAAATATTTTTACAGAATAAAGAATTCAGACATAGATTTGTATTTATTGATAGCGAAATTTTAATATATATATACACTTACTATTGCACAATATACCTATACAAATTCTCACAGAATTTCATAGAAGATTGATGTGTATATTGTATACTGCAGGTAAATTTCTGTAATTTAATGCAGTGTCTGTCTGGCCATTGTCGCTAAACTGCGAACGTGGCAGGGGTTTCAGTCGTATTTACCCAATATGACCAAAGACCAGGATTTATAAAATATTTTTAATTGCCGACTACATCTTATGCAGATACTAAAGTATACATAGTATTGTTTAGATTTTAGTTAACTATTGCACATTGTAGTAAAATAATAAAATATAATAATTTATTATTATTAATTATTTAGTAAACGATATTTATACAACTGAAATTACTGAAAACTGAAATGTCACTTCCTGTTAAAATATTAACTGAGCTGGGATATAATCACTTTTTTTTTTAATTTTCCATAAGCCCAACTCAATCACACATTTTGCATGGATTACATAAGTATAATATTGTTAAAAGTTTGAAATATCTATAGGATGAATCTGTAGAATTTTTCATGAAAATTACAAATAATTAACCAAAACACCTTTATTGTCATAAATTTCACCATTTTTCAGAAAAAAATAAAACAATCTTATATTTTATTTAAATTTAAACAAGTTTACAAAAAAAAATAATATATATATATATATTGAAAAATATAATTATTGTTTTAAAACTTTATAATTTATTTATTGATTATGTCAGGTAAATTTTTACTGTAAGTACGACTTTTACGGTTATAATAAATTGTACATAATATTATAAAATACCACATTAATTAACGAGTTTTAAGTACTTAGCATGTGTATTAAAAATATAATATTCCACTTATCTTATCAATCAATTAATTAATAACTTATATAATATAATATTTTGGAACAAAAATAAAAATGCAATAGAATTAAATAATAAATGTGTTTTAAAAAAAATAATAGTAATAATATACCTAATAATAACCAATATTACATACCCACTTATATGAAATATAAATAATTATTTCTTTATAATATACATATAATCAGTTTACATATCAAGTGCAATTTTTTTTTTAATACAATTTAAAGATAATTCAAATGGTTATAAGTACTAAAAATATACTTTTAATACCTAGTTTTAAATGTAAATATTTAACCACTCAAAATTAATTAATCTCATATATATGTATAAATAATTGGATTACCACCCACAAAAAAAAAATGCAGATAAGTATATAATAATATTAAATACAATTTTTAATCCATTTTTTTTCTATACAATATATTATGATTAGGTATTTAATTTAATATTAAAATATTAAGAGATACCTCTTGGAGTGTAATATGAAATATTAAAATGTATTTATCTAAGTATAAAAAATTGTCTTTAAGAAAAATATAATATGTATTTTAATTAATTAATTTAAAATTTGTATTTTTTGAATTAAATGTGAAAATAATAAATATACCAGATTGAAACTATTAAATTATATTATCTCACCAGTATTTGCTGTATCTATATTTTAATTATGTACTATGGGAGAATGTTGAGATCCCCTAGATATAATTAAGTTTAAACCAAATTTTACTTGTATTAAGTATTTACAAAAATAAAAAGCAGCCGATAATATCAAAATAAATATAGATAAATTATAAGATAATAATATGTAATAAAAAATGAACAATCAAACTAATAGTTTGTTGATCATAAAAATATAACAAATTATTTGTACTTAACTATTATTAACAATAATATCACAGAAATAGGTTTCCTTAAACATAAAACAAATATTATATTTGTATGATAAAACTATAATAAAATAATACTATAATTAATATATAATAAGGTACATGTCTTTTATCTAATTTTTAACAAATTAGTATTGATACTTTCTGTATCCACAGTATTACTGAATAACATATAAAATCAAATGGTTGGTAAAATATTTTGGCTATGTTAAAGTTACATTATAAAAGTTATATAATGAACAATAAGAATATATTACACATTGTGAATAGAAAAATTTAGTAACAGACATGAGTTTAATAACCAATTGTTTTATACAGTATGTATAAATAATCATTGTGCCAAAAAACCCATGCTAAATTACAAAAACAAATTATTAATTCAAATTTGATTGAAAAAAAAAATTAAGATTTTAAATTAATACATTAACAATAAATAAAACAACAATTAACCTTCTATAATCATTATATATAAACTCTATAGTTGTCTACAACTTGGTAAGTTGAAAAACATAGAGTGAAAAAAATTTATAACATTGTATACTTAATCAACTAATGTTTATAATTATAATATAAATAAGCAAACAAACATAAATACATGATACATTAAACTTATAATCATATAGTACACATAAAACTAGATTTGACAATCAGGATATAACAATTATATTTTTTATTTGAACATGAAGGTTAGATAAATATTAATAAAAATAATAATGATTTAACTATATTGTATTATAAGCATTAATGAACACATGGAATTAATTAAATATTTGACTCAGCTCAAGATTAAATGTTTAAATGTTTTATAATTTTACATAAATTCGTAAATGGTCAAATAATATATTATTGAACAAGTTTAAATCTGTTTTTTTTTTTTTTAATAGTATAAAATTAAATTTTTATATATATTTTTTTTATCAAATTTATATAAAACTATACAAAAATAAGTCAATAATAAAAAAAAATATACCTGTAGTTTTTATATCAATAAGTTTCAGATTTCTCCAGACACTGGCAAGAAAAAATATAACTAAATATTTAAATTGCTCAACACAAACCAACAGATTTAACAAGTACAATACAATTTTAATATTATTAAACTGTCTTAATTGACATAAAGCAGGTACATATTTAGCACATACAATATAAAGAATAAAAATATTTATGTTACTTTACAGCAGATAAATAATACTAGGAACGTATTAGTAATGGTTTTTGGTCCCTAATATAACATTTAACTTATAAAATACCAAATCAATCAAATTTACAGTCAGGAAACAAACATTATAATATTTATACCATATTACTCACAAAAAACTTGGTCACAAATAGGTAATAATTTAAAAACTATAATGGTGGATTAGCCACCAGGCAGTTCTTTAAAGAACATTGGTGAAAAATTGACAGCAGCAATCTTAATTTAAATTGCAAAAAAAATTATACTCAAAATATTGTATAATTATAACATGATTATTTAACAAATTACTTAAACAAATAATATATAAAATATATTATGTGTATATTGGTTTGAAGACTAGATTATAAAAAATATATATTATATATGTATACATATATTTTTGTTTTTTGACTTTGCACTACAGTAATGGTTATAGAAAATATATTATTAATTATTTTATTGTTTACAAAAATATATAAACTGAAGGTATATTTAAAAATGCAAAAAAAGAAATTTTTTTTACTAGGTACAGTAACTCGGATAACTTAAATAACTCGGAAAGTGAAGCACTTGTATGTTTTTAATTAGCCTTATATTAAAAATAAATTATTTTGAATTATGTTTTAATAATAATATCTAAAATTAATATAATATATGTAATCAGAAAAAGGTATTATATGAACCACCAAGGATGACTGACTAGATAAATACATAGATATATATTATATACCTAAATACAAATGAAACTATTGTTGTGGATGAAATACTTGACTAAATCCTGGCAATGGCGTAGAATTGCCAGTTTCACTAGGTTGTCTTAATAATGCTGAAAGAAGTTCTGATGGAGATGTGTAATCGCCAATTTCAATTGGCTCTTCAGAGATGATTTCTTGGGATGGCATTAGAATGGTTGGTTCATCGTCATTTGTTAGTACTGAAGTTTCAGGCTCAATATTACTTATGGTGGATGTAGGTATCAATCTAATTAATTGAGGTAATCCTGGAATTTCAGATCTTCTTGTTGAATGTTGGTAATTATCTGCCAATTGGCCTGTTAAGGTTGTATCAAAAACTTTTAATTCGTCTACTGGATATGAAGCCTGTTCAAAGTTCATATCAGACAAACTCATTTCACTGGAACCAACAGACTGACTGTTATTTTCACTGTAATTAAAACTAGTTATGTCAGATGAATGAAATATTGGCACTTCTGACTCTAAGATATTCTCTTGTTTTATCAAATACTCACTAGTAACAGTTTCAGTTACTTTACTTTCTGTCTTATATGGCTGACCATAGGTTTCAAGGTAAATTGTGTCCACAGATTTACTTTTATGGACTTCGCTCGGTTTTTTGGTTTTCTTATTCGCATTAAAATTATGACTTTTTTTAATGTGCCGTGTGAGATGATCTTTTCGACCAAATCGTTGTGGGCAAAATTGACAAAGAAAATCTCGCAGACCAGTGTGCACAACTAAATGTCGTCGAACATCTTTGCCAGTATAAAAACTGCGCTCACAAAAATTACATCGATATTTCTTATCAGCCGGAGTTTTAACCACCCTAGATCCTGAGTGTATTTTCAAATGATATATAAGTTCATCTTTGGATTCAAAAACTTTACTACAAATCTTACAGTCAAGAAATCCTTCTTCTAATGAATGAAGAGCTATATGTTTACGATAACTAAGTACTGAACTGTATTCCTTTGAACAACCCGGTCTATCACATTGTAAAGTCCGTTTTATAGGATTATGTACTTTTGCATGATTTTTCAAATGGTCTTTCCTATGAAATGTTCGATCACAAACTGTACAATGATATTGACGTTGATCAGAATGTATTAATACATGGCGAACGAGTTTAAATTTTGATGAAAAAGCTTTAGAACAGTGATTACAGACAAATGGTTTTTCTTCAGTATGAGAATAAGAATGTTGTGTTAATTTACATGTACTGGTAAAAGACTTTAAACATACCTGACATACATGTCGTCCTTTTAACATCTGATTGACTACTGGTGTCTCCTGAAGCAATGATTCTGAAGAAATATTGGAACTTTCACCAACTGTTGTACTCTCAGCTGCTGATGATAGCTCCTGTGTATCTGCTAAAATTATTGTGCTTTTAGGTTGTTCATGGCATACATCAAACAATTGACGTTTACATGTTACTACTGGCGGAGACAAAGTTTTTTTGTTTCTTTTTTTTGATTGATTTGCAAAAAATGTAGAATCACTGGATGTAGTTGGGGACGTTGGGGTTGATGGTAGACATACACAAATATTTTGTTGAACAGTCTTACCCTGAATTGGCAGGTTACATTTAGGGCATAATGGAAAAAACCGCGGTCGCAATTGTCGTCCTGGTGATCCTGGTGATGTACGGACATCAGGTTCATTTTTGGGCCACTGACTGGGGTCTAAAAAAAAAAAAAAAATATAATATAAACAGTTTTTAATAAAACAAAACTATACTTAACTAAATAATAAGTATTTCATGTCTGCATACATCAATTAATATAATTTATATTATCTATACTGTAGCATTAAATTAACATACATAAAATAAAATTTATTTTATGTAGGAATGATAGGTGCCAATACTTAATGTAAAATAATCAAAATACATTATTAGTCATACATGTGGTTGTAAATTTAATGAATTTGCATGTTTTTTTTTTATAATATTCTATGCCAGTTAGAAAATATGTGAAGTATAGTTTTGTCATCGTTCAAATAACTAATAAAATAATTTTATGAGCTTTTCTCATTAGATAGCTCATCTACATAAAAAAAAACACTTACGTTTAAAAAAAAAAATCAGAAAAATTAGTAAGGTAGAACTTCAGATATAATTGTCCCAAAAAATCGCCTAATGTTTTAATAATATAATAGAACAGATAGATAATATCGGATATAATCGAGAGAATAATATAGTATTACATAGTATGCCTATAATATTTTAGATATAGTCTAGCCGATGAGAGAATGCTACTCCTCTGCACATCTAATTGAACAAGCTTCACGGTTTTGTGCCCAAATTTCTCTCACTCTATTACCTACTCACTGTAGGAATGTGGAAAACGGAGTAGTTTTGCTTGCCACTCAGTAGCGTTCTCTTTCCGGCTGGACTGTAGTTAGTCGATTTATAACTTAAAAATATTAAAACATTAGAGTTAAGATAACAATTTTAATTAGATATTATAAACATATATTCTTAATAAATAATAATAAATATATTAATATTATTGAAACAAAAATTAAACTGTTAGTATTTTTTTGCCCTTTTTTAAAAAATTAGAGCATATTTCAAGAATTTAAAGAGCATACCTAGGTACTTTAATTAATACTTTGTCAATGTCGAGTGTAATAAATATTAAATTCACAACCCTGATCAAGAACAATATTTGAGTAGAGCCGGGTTCTAAGTAAACTAGAAAGGGGTGACGTAACAATTTTTAAATCCAAATAAGCAAATAAATAAGTAGATACCAAATCTGCTGGCTTTCCAAAATGTTTTAACCAAATATTGTTTGTTTAAAAAAAAATGAAAATAAATAAAACATTTACAATGATACAAGAACAATCGGTTGAAGTCTGGCTCTTGGAGTACATAACAAATTCAAAAAAAAAGAAATAATTAATTGTATGATTAAAATTAATTTATCGTTAAATTGCTTATAGTTAGTACTACTCAGTACCTGGTCCGAAATTCGTAGTTTGGAAGGATATTTAACAGCCTTCAAAACTCCACGAGGGGAGTTACGGGAAATTATAACAACATTGTTAAATATGATTTTAAACGTTTATAAACAGTATGAATTTAAAATTATGAAACATTTTCACAGCTAAGTAGGTGGGGTACCTATTTTTTTCCAAACTCAATGACATAACAAGCATGCAAGTAATAATGAACAAATACTAACTTTTGGATCCCATTCCGAAGGCATATTCCTTGTATTCATACAATACACTTCCCTATCACCTCCCTATTTGGCGTCCACACAATACATGTGCGAACGTTTTTGCAACGACTCGACACCACTACAACGTGTACCGGATGCGAGCCACCATAATTGTTGCGCACTGACTTCAGATGTTGTCGGCGGTGTCCGGTGTAAAATCGGAATGACTGCTATGTCTATAAGTAGTAACGATAGTTGTAGTAGTTGCGGCAGAATTGGCAGTAACAATAGTTGTAACAGAGGACGAAGACGACATGGGGTATCGATTGGAATCGTGTATCGATGATCCAACGGTGCGCACTACAGGAGTAGCGATGTGGACATACTGGCCGCGAGACGAACGCAAGGAGGAAAAGACGGCGGCTGAGAACAACATACGCGTTTCTTTTTCCGCGTCGCCCGCACCAACCGATTGCTTATCGTTTCTAACGTTTCTCGTACGATCGTCGTCGCGGGCGTGCCGATCCGTCTGCCGGTCCGATCGGAGAAAATTCCGCGATGCGCGTAGCGTATTGGTAACGTTTCACTCGCCGACGACGTACGACCCGTACGAGAAGAACGCACACGATTTTGTTGCATTGTTATCAAAACGCGCCCTTGAGCAACAGCAGCTCTCGCGTACACTCAGTCGCCTCGCATTATAATATTATATTATTATTGTTATTATTATTATTATTATTATTCCGTATTGTCCGATCGGTTATTTTTTTTATTTTTTTTCTTCGCTTTTACACCAACTGCGTATCAGCGGATAAGCGATAAGAATAATGATATAGTATTTGTACGTCCGCCGTCAATTGTGCCCCGTTGTGGAGTAATTGTCGTGCGACACGGTGAACCTACCACGGCCGCCTAGCCGATTCCCGACCACGAATAACACGTATCTATGCAATTGACAATATTATTGCCGAATTCATAGATCACGACGATCGTAGATAATAATGTGATCATATCAGTGTACGGCTGAACATCGCGTATTCGCGTGACAAATGGCAATAAATTCTATTGACGGTATTTTCCTAATAGACGTTCGAAGTTTGTCGGACTTTGACGATTTGCTTGCAAAAAAAGTTCACGAGCCGCGGACAACCGACTAACCTCGTGTATGTACACTCTACTCCGTCCGTATTATTATTAGTCGTCCGCGGTTCAGACTATAACAATTATGCCCGTAACTGTGACGTACTCTACTAATAGTAAAATACAACAGTTCGATTGGAATTATTACAGTAACATTATTATTATTATACATTATAGGTAATCAGAACTACCGAGCAGCTGGCGGCCGCGGTTATCGCCGGAGTCACGGATCGCGGGTGCAGTGTGCACGTCCTTAGATTGTACGATCGTACCATTATGTCTTATACATGTATAAGACGGCGATCTTATGATCTCACTGGCAGTTGGCAGTGGCCAGTGTGCCATCGTTTCCGCGTCGTTCGATCGCGCCAACGGGTTACGGGGGTCTGCCGTCCTCCGAACTACTGTCCGCACCACGGTCTTTATTCTACAGTCCGCGTAGCCATGTAGTACGTAATTCTTTGTTCGACCGAAAACCGACCCGAGCCCGTGTAAAATAATCTACGGTTCGCCTTAGATCCGCACCGACAACCGTCGTCCTACAGAAACGATTCGTCCCGCAGAAACACGTCGTCGAGACGGCCGAACAGTGGGTTTACTAGGTAATATTATAATTGGTACTCGCGCGCGCCTAAACACAATGATCGCGTCTTTTGTGTTCCCGGAGAGTTCCGCGTACCGCCGCCACCTTAAACCCGCCCGCGCTCACATTAGCCGCAATCGTAGCCAAACAACCGCAGACAGCTCGATCGCGTCCGAATCGTTTTTTTTTTTATTTTCTATATTGTTTATTCTTGTGATTTTACAGAACGGTATATTTGTCTGAACCGACCATGCAAACGCAATCGCCGTCGACGTCCGCCGCCGCCGCCGCCGCCGCCGATGACGTCGAGACTACTCGATCAGTAGTCGCGCAGCTAGACGGAAGTGATCAGCGTTCGGCCAACGACAAGATGGCCACCAGGGTTCACAAACGCAAAGTGGACGATTTCATTTTCGGAAAAGTCGTCGGCGAAGGTAGCTTTTCGACCGTGTATTTGGCCAAAGACAAACACACGGGTCGCCAGTATGCGATCAAAGCTTATGAAAAACTGCATATTCTCAAGGAAAGAAAATCGGATGACGTGCGTCGCGAAAAAGACGTCATGAATATACTGACCAATTCTGGGTCAAGCTTGTTCGTCAGATTGTCCTGCACCTTCCAGGATCGCGGAAGACTCTGTATCCTTTTATTACTTATTATATTTTATTAACTCACAAATTTGTGAGTTCAGAAGAAAAATAACAGAGTTCTTTGTTTTAAACAACAACCAAATAATTGGGTAATTAATTTAAATATTCTGCTATGCGATTTCTTCATTCCGGAAACTTGATAGTAATAGTCTTTGAGAAATACTTAAATGGTAAAAAACATTTGTTGTTTAGTTTTGCCTATGTATGCTCAAGTTGAGTTAAATTATTTTCTACTAAATTTATTTATCTCTTTCTGTTAATTTTCAATAATTAATATAATATTAAACTGAAAATAGTATTTGCATAATAGTAGTACTTATATAGGTAGTGATTATTCAACATGACGTATTGAAATAAATTATTAAGTCTTGATTTTACGGTCATTGTCCTTTTGCACCTAAAAAAAGTAATTAGTTTTACAGCCCATCTATGATGAAGTAAAAAAAATGTACAATTTTTCTTCAGCCTATTTGTACTATATTTACCTACATATTATATATTTGTGCAATCATTTTTCATAATAATAATATCAATTTTTAACAGTTATAATACAAATTTTTGTATTATAAATAATAATTAATAGTACACTTTTTTAGAAATTATAATAAATTAATTTTAAAGATTTTTGTTACATTTTTTTCCAAATAACTCACTAATTATAAATAATCCAATTTTTTTAAAATTAATTGTCAATAATAAAACATGTTTTTTTTTAATAATAAATAAACAATCTAATCTTTATTATTATTAAATGATAGGTTCTATGTTTATATATTTTTAAGGTATTTATTTCATGGCAAGTAAATATAATTATATTTGATAGCATCATCATTAAGTTGTCAAAACTATAATGTTGAATTGTTCAATATAATAAACGAACATGGTAAATATTTTTTTTTGGACTGTGGTTAACATCAGATATAGTACAATTTTATTATTACGAATATCATGTCTTTAAATTGTATAATAAATGTAGATAAATTTGTATAAAATGGGCTGTCTGAAAAAATATACCTTTCGGTGCAGATAGGCTGTACTCAAAACTTAAAAAAATGTTGGCACAAATAGCTTATTGCTTATTTAACAAATACAAATTAAACATTTGGATGGAGTGGAAGAATATTTGTAACGTAAAATAATATATAGTATTGTATTATATTTTACAATTTATTGTCTTAGAAGTTCAAATTAAATTTAAACAAAAACATTTTACAAAAAAGAATTGTTTGAGACAAATGTTTTAAATATGTTTAAAACTGCAAACCCTGGCATTATCACAATATTTCTGTATTTATATTAATTTATTTTTTACAATTTTCCTCCTTTTTTGTTCTCCTGAACTTTATATTTTCAGTTTTTGTCATGTCATATGCCAAAAATGGTGACATGTTATCATTCCTCAATAGTATGGATTCATTTGACATAACATGCACACAATTTTATTCCGGTGAGATCCTTCTCGCCTTGGAGTATCTTCATAATTTGAACATCCAGCACAGGGATCTGAAGCCTGAAAACATATTACTTGATGATAACATGCACATCAAGTTGACTGATTTTGGGTGTAGCAAAATAAACAATCTGGAATCCGAGATGGAGACTTTGAACATATCCAATCCAAATGAAAACAACAATGGCAAGGAACGTGCTAACAGTTTTGTTGGCACAGCTCAATACATCAGTCCCGAAATTTTTTATGAAATACCAACTTCATTCAGTTCGGATCTGTGGGCTTTTGGTTGTATTGTATACCAAATGATTACTGGATATCCGCCTTTCCGATGCAGGACTGATTATTTAATTTTCCGCAAAATCATGAATCTTGATTATTCGTTCCCTGACGAATTTCATGAAGACGCCAAAGATCTGATAGAAAAATTGTTGGTGCTTGAGCCTAACAAACGTCTTGGGACAGAGGATGCCAAACGATATACTTCCATTCGTGCGCATTCATTTTACAAGGGGTTAAATTTTGATACACTGCTTAAGACAAAAGCTCCGCTTTCATGCCCTGACAATAATAACTACTATCAAGTACCTGATAATTTAGAACCGGGACTGGGCCCCAAACAATTGACCAGGTTATTGGTATGTGATGAGCTGTATGGCCATAGTTCCAAAAATACGAATACCAGTTTACCTTCAACGTCAGACGCTGCTGAGGGTCAGTCTACCACAAGTTGCGAAAAATAATGTGATTATTTCTGTTCATAATTTTTTGATTTATTACAGTAGTTAGACTAAAATAAAAGCATAGTGTCCTTAACTACTTTCTATTGGATTTATTTCATTCTGGTTGTTTGTGCCATAACATGTACATACATATTTTGTTTTATTTTTATTGGTTTTATTATTTAAATAAAAGTAATAAAAGTATTTAAAATTAATTTAAGTACATATTTGTTTTTGAGCGGTATGCTTGCATGTTTAATGGGATTTTTAAAACTGCATAATATAATAATCCCATTATAATTGTTTTAATGAGTTTTGAAATCCCAGCTTTGCTTGGGAAGGAAATAAATATTCTGCAGTATATAAGTATTAAAACTTCAAAGATACTGTTCCAAAATCCTTGGAATAATAGAACCAATATTTTTCATGATATGAAACAGGTAGTTTTTGTTTGAGAGTGCCACAATATTGGTATTTAATAATGGTTTGAATATTACCAATTATTATCATACTTGTGTATGATTAAAAACTAAGAAATTATACATAATTATAATAATATGTTTAAATATTTGCATATGTATTATTTTACCAATTGTCATCATACTTGTCTATGATTAAAACATAAGAAATAGTACATAATTATAATAGGTTTAAATATTTTCATATATATTATTATTTTATAATCAGGTATATATAATTGCATACAATTTAATACTTCCAAACAGAATGTTTTAAAAATAAATCACAACTTTGTGAACAAACACTACAAGTATTTTAAATTAATAATACACCCAGTGATATAATCAAATAAAAATAATGTTAACAATGTTAATGGCAATTTAATTGCATAAAAAACCAAAGTATAAATATAAATATATATATTTTTTTAATGTTAAATTATACAAAAATAAATATTAATAGGGCCCTAAAATAATTGATTACTTATATAAGTTATAAACAATATTAATAAAAGGTTGGTAAAAAAAAAATATATAACAAAAACTAATGGAATTTTTTGTTATTTTGCCACCTTTAACAATACATTTAAATTATTATTATGGAAGATTGAGTAGTATAAATTGTGTAACTAACCCTTATTAATTAATATGACTAGTTATATTATTATAAAAGGCACAAACATTTTAATACTGCAATACATAACAAATCAGTTTGGTTTATATAAATGAAAAGAAATTATAATTATTTAAATAACAATATAGACAAAAAAAAATATAACAAGTTAAAAACATAGTTTTAAAAAATAGATATTTAAATGTATTCTTTCAACAAAAATTCAACAAAATTATAAACATTAAAAAAAAAATCATATCATACAAACAGTAATTACATCATTTAAATTTCATTACACGCAATTTAAATATAATTAATCTGAAAAATACTGTATTGGACGGACGTATAAATATATATATATATTAGTCTATTAGTTTCAACAAAATTAGATTTAATACTATATTATAATTTCACATGTATACACAATTTGATCGTAGTTTGTAATGACAACATTAACTAATCTAGTTGTGCAACAGCAAAAATTTAATAGGCAAACCCTATTATCCATGAAAATATTATAAAAGTTGAATACAATCAGAGCATTAATTGACCATAATTAATATTAAATTTAACCTAATCAAATCAAACGATAATTTATTTAATGGAAAAATTATTTTATAATTTTTCTTTGGTAAAAGATATTGGTTGGATTTTTATGAGAATATATTTACTTTTTTTGTTTATTTGTCATTTTTAATGATTTATTAAAATATTATAAGTCTAATTTAATAACTTGATAAATAAAACAAGTCAACAAGGTACATTTTAAAAGACTTTGTTTTTCTTGTATTTAAATAATACTGCTAGATAACAATATATAATTTTAATAATGTTGTAAACAATTCCTAACCAACCTACATTTATTGTATTACTTGCCTTAGAATATTATTGGATTGATATTTTGTAAAAATAGCCCTAAAACTGATTGATTTTTGGATTTAATCACAATAAAATTGCAAACATTACAAACATAGACCTATAAACTATGATCTATGGAATACTAGTATATTATGTTGTTATTAAATGTCATCAAGTGATAAGCGTTTTTTTACTATATCAACTAACAGTTCCAGATACTGCTGAGTGCTATGAAGTGAATTTTGATGAGGAATTACACCTCCTTTGTTGACAATTTGTTCTAATTTTAATATTACATCAGTAATGTCTCTATTAGATGCATGTTTGTTGTTATTATTGATGCAATTTGTATGTACCAGAATTTTGTCAGCAGTTTGAAATAACTGTTCAGCCATAAGAGATAAATAATCTAAAATATATACATATATATTATTAAAGTACAATTTTTTTTATAAATGCAGACTATTTTTTTATTTACTCCTTAAGTTCTTGGTCGGCTGATTTATTGTTCCACTATTCCTAGTTTTTTCAGTTAAATCAATAGTATGATTTCTCAATTTTTCATTAGGTTTACTCAATGAACTACTTAAATTCATTTCACTAACACTTCTCGTTAATGAAGTGTTTTTTCTAAAATGATACATTTCCTTTAAAATTATTAACATAAAAACAAAAATGTATGTTTAAATTTACACAAAAGTTTTTTACCGACCTAGATTTATCAATTGGATTTATTCTAGATTGAATTGTGTGAATTTTTGATTTGTTATGCAATGATGTACACAATTCTTCAGAGCTTGAGTCTTCATTAAGTCCAAATCTATTAACTGCAGCTGAAAATAAAAAATTTACAAAAGTAATAGGAAAGTATTTATATATTATTATAATATTATCAAAATAATAATACTTGTGGATTGTGAATAAACACTGCTTTGGCGCAAAAGATTTGATTTGTTTGTAACCATTTTATTCTGAGAAGATATAGTTGGTTTCATAATTCTATTATTTTCTCCTTTTATAGATCGGTTGCCATCACTGTCTGAATCACTCTTTTAAACAAATTTAAATGTATTTGTAATTTTACTAAATTTCTTTTGTGAAATTAAGATGTATGTTATACCTGATTCAAAATATTAACGGAATTACTTCTATGTATATTGCTGGAGGATTTTTTTGAAGGATTTCTTGAAATTGGTTTTGTAATACTTAAATCTGGTATAGAAAAAAATTAATTATTTTATAATGATAATATGATTATTATGAAATCATATAAAACTAATTTAACATTAAGATATTTACCATTATCAAATGCGCTATATTTGATTGGTGTTGATAAATCAATTAATGAACAAACTCTTCTCATTGAAGTCCCAGTTTTATTAATTTGTTTATCAACTATAAAAAAAATATATATAAATATTTTGACATTTTTTGTTCGGTTTTTTTACTGTTAGGAATCTATTTTATTTTATAAATATGCATATTTTAAGCTGCCATCAAATATGGAGCCTTTACACTATCCTAAAAATTATTTTCAAAAAAAAAAATAATAAAACAAATAGTTTGACTAATAGTTTCTATGCTCTTCATACTCAGAATCAAAAATTAACTATAATACCAAATAAATCTTACCTAATAAATGGCTGCGAACAGGTAATTTCGAAGATCCATAATTTCTACTTAAATCGCATATACTTTGACTAGTTTTTAAGTTTGAATGAGCTCCCAACTAAAATTAAATTGCACGATATAATAAATTGAAGAATAATATTATATTTAAGTTTAGTTATAACAAACATTTTGTAATGTTTTCCTAGTTTCTTCAATTCTTTGTTGGAGTTCTTTTCTTTTAGTTAGAATTTCAGAGTTTGTATTTTGCTGTTTGGTAGGAATATTATTATTATACTGTGAAGATAAACTTTTTTTACCTAAAATAAACAGATAAGATATACAAAATATAAATTAAATAATTGTAATGAAATTTAAATATACTAGGAAAATGGTATTTTTCATCTTGAAAATCATTTCCTCCTAGTGATTCAAATGTATTTTTTAGAAATTGTTCTCGTTTTTCAATCATATCTAATCTCTCATTGCTATACAAACAAAAAATTTACAAATTAAACATACAATGAAAAAAATTTAGTTTAATTTTCATACCTAGTTGACAAAATTGTTGAATTTTTATCAGAGTTATTAACGCTTAAATTGGAATTTTCAAAGTCTTCATCACTATCCTGACTTCCAGACATAGACTGACTGGATAAATCGGTAAGCCCAGAAGATAACAACCGATCTTTTTGTTTAATTGTTTTAGATTTTCTTTGGGAAATTCTTAGAGCATCAGAATCCAATTTTGTGATTGTAAAATCACTATATTGAACACAATAAATATACATTTGTATAGATTTTTAATTATAAGAAAATAATTAGTTTTAAAATTTACTCGACAATATCGGTATTTGATGGGTAGTACAGAATATTATTTTTACTATTTGCATTTCCAATCCATTCATTTTCAGAATCTATATCACCATCATGATCTAGTTCCTTAATTGAAATATAAAATTAATAATTTAGTTTTACATTTAATAATATTAATTTAAAAGTTACCTCATTCTTAAAACTGCCCAATGAGCTATCATCAGTTAAATTACGAATTCGCTGAATATCTGACATGTTTTGAGAATTGGACTTTTCAGATGTTAACTATGACAAAATAATATAAATACCAATATTTTATTATTATTATTATCATATTCAATCAATTAAATAAATCAAACTTACATGGGCTAATGAATTTTCTTCAAAATCGTGTGAAATAAATAGTGATGGTATGCGCACTGTCTGTATAAAATTAATACAATTGATGGTTTTCATTTTAAATTTTAAGATTTCCCATTCGGTATTTTAATAAAGTTATAATATATTCTAAAAATTAATTACTTACCTTCTTTGGAACTATTAATGATTCCTTCTGATTTTCTGGATAAATAGATCTACTTGTTTCTGTTCCACTATCTACTGAACTGTCATCTTGAAATCCATCAGAATCATCTTTGTTCATTGGCAACTTCAATATGTGACTGGATTCTGATGAATTAGTAGCTCGTTGGGCCCATTGTCCTTTAGGGGCGTTAACTTGATTATGAGAAACATTTAACACTATATTAGTCGAAATATTGTTAGATTTTTTAGCCCATAATGGTAATTGACCATCTCTAAAAAATTGAATATAATTAGTAATTACATTCTGTACAATTCAAAATACAACATGTTACTTACGTAGGAATACTAAATATATTTGTTTCATTTTCTTTAACTGTCTTTTGTCCATATGATAAAGTTTCATTTTCAACATTTGCAACAGGAACAGTTCTAAAAATATTTCAGAAATAATAAGCAAGAGTAAAATAAACATACTTTAAGTAGTCTAATGTCTGTTTTGAAAAATGAATTGACTTTATAGTTTATATACTTCTTTTTTATGTTTGTAAGAAAATATTTAATTTTTTTTGGGACACATAAATACAAATTTATTTTAAGAAAAAAACAAAATAAATTATGTACTTATCCTAAATTAACTAAATAAAATCTAACTGAACAAATGTATTCTACTTAACATGGACAAAATATCAAATAATTCAAATATATTTTCAAAATTAAAATTGAGCAAGTGGTTTATTTTTTAAAAAAAATAAATGACGATTTTGTTTTATAAAATAAATTCTTAACTTTAATACATCATAATTACTCTAGATATTTTTACTTAAATTTATTATTAAATACAAATCTATGTGGATATTTTCTACCAAATTGTGTTAGTACTTTTTCAATTAATTGGTCTTTCTCTGAATTTACTTGTTTGCAATGAACAATTAACATGCATACCCAACTCAGTCTATGTTCACCCATCGTTATCGAAGCCTTGTTTTAACACACCTTAAAGTACTAGAAGAATATTCTGCTGTACAATTTGTAGCTGGTAAGGACATAAATATTTCCAAAGCAATTGCCATACTTGGGAAAAATGCACAGTTACTATTTAACAAATTAATTAAGTTAATGTTTTGGCAGTCCTTATTTTGCCAACAATTTTACAATTTTACAATTGACTTTCTGCTTCAGCTTGTAAATTATTAATTTTTTAAAAGTCAAATACATTGTCAACATACTCGAAGAATATATTTTTTCAAATTATTTAAAATTTGCTGGGTGAAGATATTGTAATAAAAAGCATTATTATTTTATTTTTCAAAACATTCTTTTGTGGGTTGTGTAATTGAATATGGTATATAAACTGATACTCAGTAATAATCTTTGCAACTTTTAGTTTCATAATTTGCTCTTAGTGACTGTTTTTTTACTGTTCTTGGACATATAATACAAATATTTATAACAGTGTAGATTAATTCAGCTTTGAAAAATTTTATCAGCTAGTCCTTTGATGATTATCGAACAGTTTTAGTAATGAACCAATAGTGTTATATCTTATAGTGTTTATCAATGTTCGGTTTTCATCTATTGTCCATAAGATTTGTCTTCATTTAATTTTCTCTAAATCCAGCTTATTTTCTGCATCTTTTTCCAATACCACATCTCCAGAGTTTCCAATATCTTTCCCTTTTTAATAATGCCACACTTTAGATTTATCTTCTTGTGAGCCCTTTCTTCATTGCTATGTTCATATTTTTTAACGTTAATAATTTTTTCATTTAAAGGAATGCATTTTTCGCTTGACCCATCTTGCTTTTGATTTCCTTACCTAATATTGCCTAAGTATTTGAAATAGTCTCCTTGAACAATTTCTTTGTTTTCTAGTGTTATATTCATAGATGGTATGTTTTTCTTGTGGCATATTAGAAGTTTTAGTCTTGGTTGCATTCATTTTCAAATTATACTCTTGGAATGTGGTATTCGTTACATTTAACTCTGTTTGCAAGTCTTTCTCAGATATTGCCAGATGGCATATTCAGATATCTGAATACCATCAGAGCAAAGCAAAACATTGGTATTAGTATCCCTCCTTTTTTTACTCAGATTACTTTTAAATTGAAAAATGCAGGTCAAATCCTTTACATCAAGATATTCTTTCATTGAAGTATTGCTTGATGAGTTTATATGCCTTGTTCTGTTGATTATATTTCATCATATTGTCTATTTCTTCATATTTTTTTTCAATCTAAATCTTTGTCTTTTTTTTCTTCTGGGTATATTTTATTTCTTAACATCTTATATTATTTTTTACTCTCTTCGTATATTTTATTTTCAAGCAATCTTTTTTTCTCTATATCTTAAACTAATTCCATTGTTATCCATTTTCATTTCGGTGTTGGTTTCTTCCTAGTTAATATTTCCTTTACAGACAGGACAATAGATTCTTTTATGTGATGACATCACATTTTCTATATAATTGCAATCATCTATCCTTGGTTTATTTTTGATTTCAAGTTTTTCTTTGCATTTCTTTTCAAACAACTCTTGTTTCTGGTTGTTTTAGTTAGCACATATTCCATCACTTTATTTTTTGATTTCTCAAACTTATTAAATTTTAACATGGATTTGATCATGACCAGGTTGTGATCACTGTCAATATCAGCTCCTGGGTAAGATTTACTCGATTTAATCTGATTTGTGTACCTATTCTTTGCCAGAATATAGTCTAATTGGTATCTGTTATATCTGGAATTGTATACGCTATTGTATACATAGTATTGTATATGTATAGCGTCTTCTTTTATGATTCATGAATAAAGTATTGTTTATAACTAAATCATGGTGTCTGCAGAATTCAACAAGACCAAAAAAGAGAATTACGTCTTTCATTTCTTGTTCCAAGTCCATATTTACCAACTTTTTTGCCATATGGATTTTTTCCTACAATCACATTCCAGTCCTCCATGATAATTAGATTTTCCTTATCATTTTGAGGTTAATGAGTTCTTCTATCTCTTTGTAGATCACTTCTATTTCCTCATAGTTTGCTTGTATTATTGCAATGTCATTTGGGATATTTTAGTTTGATCAATATCAACCTGCCATTATAGGCAATGTAACTTCTTATACATTGCGCCCATTTTTTATTCAGGGTAATGCTTACTCCATTTTTTCCATTATCAGTAGACGACTCAGTAGTAAGGTCATTTCCATACATTATATAATTTATTGTGCTGGTCATTTGTTAATTGACATTAAAAGAAATTAATATGATAGTTTCCTCTTGCCTTCCACATTGCAGTTCAGTAGCTGTGTTCATAGTCTCCATGCATGCCTTCTCCTAATACTTGGCTACAGCTGTACCTGTTTATGAAGCATCCATCTACATCCAGTACTGAAAGTGCTCCCACCTTCGGGTATATTTTTTATCACCTCTTACGACAGACATGGACTACCACAGATAATTAATATTCAAATATTTATTTTAATATATGTTTGGTTTAACTTTCTCAATCTGTTTTTAAAATTATAAATATAATTATAAAATACTATAACATGATCTATATAATGTATGGACAGGTCTATTATCAAATAAAAAAATGAAAAACACACAGATTAAAAAAATCAAACTGATTATTAACAATTTTACCAGACAGTAGAAGTTTCCATCCATCTATGTAATTTTTTAGCAAACTAATTAAAAATATTTAAAATAAGAGAGTCCAAAAGGCAAAAAGGTTACTGACCAGTTTTAAATCATCATATTTATAATATTTATAAATTTATTTATAATTTCAATACCTTTCAGTTCGAATTTTTTTCTTATTGATGTTTGCATGCTTAATCATATCAGTAGGCATTCGCCATACAAATATACAGCCATCCCCACTAGCAGAGATTAAATATTTACTATCATTAGTAAATCTTAAGCCAGTGACTAGTTCTGAATGCCCAAACATAGTAGCCAATAATTCTTCAGAGTTGAAATCATAAACACACAAAGTCTTATCAGTACAACTTGTTGCCACAAATGTTCCACTTCTGTCTAATACAACCTGTTAAATAGAATTAAATAAATTAAAGATATTATTCATTTAAAATTTAAAAATCTTACCTTTATAAGAGAACCTTCATCTCCAATAGATCCTTTAAAAGTTTTTGTATGTTTTCCAGCAATATTATAAACTCTGATATTTCGATCTTGACATGCTGTCAAAATATGTTTTTTTTTGGGACCTACTTCCATATCATAGAATGTGGTTTTTCCTGATATATATTGATCATGGACAAAAGCATCATGGTTATTAACACCGAACTTTAAATTATAAAAAAAAAAAATTAAAATACAACAAATAAAACATAATTAGTTTTCAAATTAAATCAAATTTCACTGACCTCATAATTTCGAAATATTATCGATTTATCTGCTCCACAAGACACCATTTGAAGTTTATCCTGAGAGTTTATAAACCGAACAGCAGTTATGGATGAGGAATGGTCATCCAATGTTTGAGTGAAATCATAACCCTAAAGAGAGAAAAAAAACAAAACATTAATCTATATTTATTTAAACAATTTATTATTGTTAGGTCCAGTTTACAAGCAAACTTATTTATTGAATAGCATATTTTAATAATGCCTTTTTAACTGATTAGGGATAATAGATAATTATATGTTTTTCATTGTCATAATAAGGCTTATTTGAGAAATAAAAGCACTAAATAGTTATTCAGTACTTTTATTACCCAGTAAAAATTTATCTAACTATTGCAGATTAATAATATCCATGGTATTATTGGTTAATTTTCATTATTTAAATTTATTTTTTTTTATACAAATATTTACTTGTATGTTGTGGTATTATTGTCTAAACATTTAATATTTTTTATAAAAACTTCTTAATGGATTTATTGTGAATGCTGACAACAAGAATAATAAATTGTTGATAATTCAAAAACTCAAAACTTGTAATGGTGTAATTTAGTGTCAAATAAACTATATAACCTCAAAAATTGATCGTTGTTCCTGATATAGAATAATTAAAATGAATTGGGTTTTTATTAAGGTGTAGCACATAAATTTACATTTCTCAATATTTTAAGTAAAGCAGTTATTTGCAGACCATTTTTCTAGGTTATTGATATTATTCTGTAATTTAATCGCATCCTGATTTGTTTTATGACACTTAAAAGTTTTAGGCTGTCAGCAAATAGAAACAGTTAGGAATACTTGATGATATTAAGGAGATCATTTATATAAATGTTAATTAATAAAACAAAGTGAACAGAAGATCTTCTTGGGGGGCCCCTGAGGGAATTTCAAACTGGGCAGGTACATAATTTCTGTGCTTAGTCAATTCTACCTTAGAGATAAAGTGGAATTGGTTGTTGTCAAGGAGTAAAGAACAATAATTAGTTGTTTTTAATGATATTAATTTAGAGAAAAGTTTAGGAATGATTGATAGATAATTTTGAAATTGGATTATTTGTTTGAGGTAAAAGATGGATTATTGCTACTTAAGATTGGGGAGATAAATGATGACTTCTAGTAAAAGACGAAAACACCTTATGTTTGAATTATTGAGTACATTTTTAAGCAAATGGGAAGAGTAATCAAGTGGTGACCAACTACAACAAGCTATCATTTATTAATCGGCCCACCAAAGTATTGTTAAATAAAAATTGAAAAAAAAAAATAACATCAAATTTCAAAAATTAACACTTTTTTTTTGAATTAATAAACAGGTGTGTTTATACTTAACATTTTTTCTCATTTATAACAACCAAATACAATTATTAAATATATCATTGTACCTATATTAAGATAATACACAACAATAAAATATGATATTCTATTAACTTAAAAGTAAATATTAAAATTCTTGACCCACCAAAAATTAATATTTTTTTTATGGCCTTCTGTAAAAAAAGATTGGCCACTACTGGTATACATAAATTTGGTATTTATAACTATCTTTGATAATCATAATTCAGAACAAAAAGTATACTAATATTAATAATTTATTAATTAATCTATTTATTTATTTATTTATATTAACAACTTACTTGATTTACATTAAACACATGAATAAGCCTATCTCTTGAAGCTGAAGCAAGAAGTTTTATCTTATCATTGTATTTCGTATAATCTAAATATAATATCTCAGAATCATGAGCTTCAATCAAACAAATCTGCCTTAATGTCTTCAAATCATGAATTCTAGTATTTATATATAAAAAAACAAAACAAAAACAAACATTTATAGTAATTGGGATACTGTAGTTTTCAACTAAAAAGTTGTTATAACAAATAATTTATATTCATATATTAATATTTTTAAATAACTTTTATATTAACAATTTTTTTTTCATTCTACTTTTTTTGTCATTCTTTTAAAATAACTGCTTTCTTTTTAACCATTATCCTCTTTGTTTTTTCATCATGTTCCTCTAGCAACTTTTATTGTCCCCTTACTCCCTTACATAGCCCCTCTTTTGTGACATTTGTATCATTCCACAAATCTTATCCAATACACTAATTTATTTCATTATCTTGATTTTACTCTCTCATTTGCCTTTTTCATAAATAAAATACATGGATTTTCATATTATTTAACATCCCATGTAGGTGCTTAATGTAAAAAAAGATACTTTTAATTTATAAATTTATTTTTACTTTTGAATGTATGTACAACTAAAATAAATTTTAGAATAATCACCTAATGTTACCACAGCGATCACCAGATGCAAGTTGTAACCCATCAGGGCATATTCTTATAGCTCGTACACCATTTCTGCCATCATATGAGGATGATTCATTTTTATCTATTAAATTTAACTCAACATTTTTAATGAAATTTAGCTCTGAATCAATGTAAATTATTTTGAGAAGCTCCTAAAAACCAAAAAAATGTATATATTTTATATAAAAAATACACATTTTATACTTACATTACTGTATATATTTTTTTGATAAAGAGATTTTCTATCATATTCTATTCCATCTAGATTCCAGACCCTGATAGTATCATCACTTGAACATGTAATAAAAGAATTTTTGGGTATTTGTGAATCCTTCTCCAATGTAGGATACATTTCTACACCCCAAATACATGCTGAATGAAATAAAAACGAATTTGATTTCCCAACCTAATTAATAAACATTTAATTTAATACACTATAATGAAGTGAATCTAAATTTTTTTAAATTTAATTACCCTGTTAATATCTTTAACATCCCATATATACAAACTGTGATCATTATATACACAAGTAAGTTTCATATTTGTTTCATCAAAGACCATTGCTATTGTATCTGGGTAAGTACTATTAGGAGGAATGTAATCCATATGACTAATAAAAACATTTAATTTATTAAGAGAATGTTTATAAAAACAAATTAAAAACCAATAGTAATGAAACCTGATGTTATTTCCAAGAGCAACATCCACACCCAAATAATGTGTTCTAGGTAATGTTGTAATAAATTGTAAAGTTTCTGGATTGAAACATCTTATAATTCCTTCGGTACAACCAACAAAAATAAATTGACTACCAATAGTCATGCAATTTGCCTTTGAAGTCTAACAAATAATATTATTATCATGCAACTATAAATACATTAATATTTGAATAATATAATTTATTATTACTTTTAATTCAACCCATCTGTCTAAATATCTATGACTATTAAATTCACACAATAACCCAGACTTTGTAATTACATATGTGTAATCTCTTAATTCTCCATGACCACAGGCAACATCTATAAAATCATTATTTCTTTGTTCTCCTAAAATGGCTGACCGACCCATTAATGGTACTGGTTCTTTGTACTAAATCAATAATTTTTTTTTTACTTATTACAATTTTAAAACTAGCTGATTAAAATACTAATAATCTTTTACCGTTACTGATCTAGATGATTGTAAATACCAAAATTTAACATGCCTATTACCAATTGTTACAAAATTTCCATTATCCGAAAACGAAATAGCTTTTATTCTAGTAGAAACTTTGTTGGATGCATATTTTAAATTTGATTTCCACTCCCAAACATTTAGAATCATGTCATGATGTGATCCTACAGAAACTAAATATTTTTGATTTGGAGAAAAAACCTACAAACAAAATAAAAGGTTTTAATATTTATATTAACCTTACTTTTTTTAAAAAATGTGTAACAAATTGTTAAATTACCACACAATTTATTCCATATTTATGACCCGGAAACTCAGCTATTTGGGTGTAGTCTGTCATATCCCAAATTCGCACATTTGATTGATGTCCACATTCTCCAGTACCAAGATATCGGCCATCAGATGAAAATGCTAAACATGATATAGATTTTCTGCAGACATTGGACAAATGTGTTTCAGAACTCGTAACTGGATTATGGAATACAACAGTGCACCTTAACAAAATTATAAATAGTTTTATATATAAATTGCAAACACATATTTTCATTAATGATAAGATCAAATCAATTTATAATTTTATTTCATATAAAAGTCTGGCTTAACCCTAGAGTACACGCTTCATAGTATAAAATACCAAGTTTTTAGAATTTTGTTTATTGTTTCAAAAATACAGAATATTAGCCTAACCCAACCTAGGTACCTTCTAATTAGGTGACAAACTAAAATTAGATAAAACTCCTAACTGTATACAATCTGAGGTCTGTAAAATAGAAAAGTTTAAAGTTCATTACCAATACAAATACCTTCTAAAAGACTGTGTGCTTGCTATACTGTGACATTTCTAAACAATTTAAGTTTATGAAAACTCAAATTATTTTTAAACTGTTTCCTAATAATTTTTGGCTGATAAATGTTTATCGATCATTATTTTATTTTCATTGCGTCTGGCGAAATTGTTATTAGTTGACACTGGTTCACCATACTGTGTGTAACTATATTACACTTACAAATATAATGTCAAGTATATATTATACAATCAATATCGCCATAATAATAGTTATACAATCCAATACAAATATTGCTGTAGAAGAGTTCATAATTGGTGATTTCTACCATTTATCATCATTAAATTTCATTTTTAATTTGTTGAGTTATAATTAAAATATTTTAATATACAGTCAAATACACCGCGTGGATTCTCATGAATATTTTTAATGTGTGTACTCTAGGGTTAGTGACGAATAACAAGTTTTTGTTGGAATCTTTAAATTTTTAACATGGAAAATAATACTCAACTTGAATATCCTTAATACTTAACTTATTTAAATAAAAATCTATTGAGAATAGTCAAAATAATAATTTACTAACCCTGCAGGGTATGCAATTATACCAGTATTTTTATCTGCATCTAATGAGGAATTTGATGAAACCGTTAATCCAATAACTCTTTCGAGTTTGATCTAAAAATAATAAAGTAAAAATACAATAAAAATAGAGGTACAGTATTTAAATGAAAGGTACCTAATTGAAAACCAGTGGTGTACATTGGACTAAATTTGTTGAGGTACAAACATATAAGTTTAGTAACATTCTATTCATAATACAAATGTATAATACATAAATAATACATATGTTTTATATTTTCTGGTTATGTTTTATGATAGTTTTGCACTTTCAGATATCTAATTTTATGCCAAGTGCCACTACACTTACAAGGGCCAATTTACATCACTGGTCAAAACTGAGAGTGTTATTATTAATGGTATTCCCGCCACTCTAGTTTGTTATCACTCCACCAAACAATACAAAAAATAAAAGTATGAATAAGTAAATTCTATATTATAATGAAAATGTAAAAAAAAATTATTATTATTATTAAATTAATTAGATTGTATTTTAAAATACTAAAAATGTTATCATATGATACAGAAAAAATTATTTTAAATTGGGATAGAGGCCAGAATTCAGAAATATCTTTTAAAATAGTCTTAAACGCATCATGTTCTCCACGTGAATTCTATCAAGTACAATTCCAGAAAATTTCTTTTTATTCCATGGAGCTTTTTATTTCCCCGTTTAGCAGAACCCCATAACCTTTCAATATTTTGAATGTGTGTCCCTGTGTACAGATCAACAAAATTATAGGTGTGGTTTTATGTTGGAATCCTATTTGCTGTAAATTTATGTAAACTTTTTAACAATTTGACAAAATTATTGATCCTGATCTTAGATATTTTTGTATAATAAAAATAATGTTTTACCCGATCATAAAAATTATAAAACATATATTGGTTTCTCAACACATTCCACCGAAAACCATTGTTTATAATGTAATCTCAATTATTTTTCGTATTTATTTATTTTGTATTATTTGGCGAATTGATAACAAATAAGTTCCCTGCTAACATCTATTACTATAATAATTTGATAATTTTTATTTTACTTTAGTCGCTTTTGAATCACCAGATCGGCCCCGTTTCAATGTCGGTGGCCGAATCAGCTTAGTAGGTTGATTTAGTGTTGATAATTTCTCCATTGAACTAATAGTTCATTATCAACTTAATATAATATTATTGAAATACCTCGTATTTAAACCTTCTTGTTTTGTCATGAATATTGAAGCATCGACTTCATTGTAATATAACATAATCTACAATAATAATCATACAAAAATTAACTTAATTAGGTTTTAAATATTTGAATATAAAAATGTACAAATAAATAAATAAATGTGTATTGTACAGTCAGTTTCAAATTAAAAATTCATTGTCAGGTTAGGAATTTTTAATCCAAAACCAGTCGTACAATACACATTTCATAATACTTCAGGTGTCACATTTTTTTATTTATTTATTTATGAATATTAACCATTTAACAATTTTGTTTTTACTTTATTATTTTATTAGGAATTAAACTACTTGTTTTTTCTATTATAACAATAATAAACAGTAGATTTTAATTGTGAAAAAAAAACTTGGTATACAAATTTAAATTTATTAAATACCTAGGAACTAATAATTATATTTATTTATTTTAAATTTGGAGCATAATGGTTTTACAAAGATGTTTATTTTGTTTTGTTTTTTTTTTTTTTTATGTGAACTGTGAGCCATATGGCGAACTAGTTTCTCATTTCATCCTTCCAGGAATAATCACAGTTAGGTACATAAACTTATTTTACTCGAAATAGGTACATCATATACCCAAATACCTAGGTACAATTAAATTACTTTAGAAAAATGTTGAACATCATTACAAAAATCAAAACTAGATATTGAAAAAATTTAGCAAATGTAATTAGCAGTAGGTATCTAAGTATAAATATGGTATTTTAATGTAAAATATAATGGATACCACTAATATAATGACACAACATCATTGATTGTAAATATCACAAGATTATCATAAAAAATCCTTGAAAAATTGTAATATATTTGCTAATAATATTAATAGGTTAAGTACCTATTTAAAATTGTTGACGATAATGACTTATTTGAAACGATCTTCTGGCTCAATAGTAGAAAAAATTGAATTTAAGAAAAAATTCCAAAACAGTTATGATGAAAGCAATGGAGAAAAAGATATAGGTATCTATTGATATAAATATGTCCGAAATTATTTTTGTATCTATTTATGTGACAAAATTGTTAAATAATTTTAATTGCATAACATTAAAAATGAATAAACTATAATGGTATAATTTTTGTACAAAATAATAAATTAGACATTGGTAGATATGTACTCACGTCTGTAATTCAATCATGTATAAATCAATAACATTAACAACGACGAAGGCTGGGTGAAAAATTACAATAACTAGGTAAGGTACCTATTTAGCAACTCAGCAGAATATTGGTCGTAAACAAACGGCGAGAAAAACAAAGAAAATTGAATGTATCAAATTCACCAGATCTAAATAAGGAATATCGTAGGTTGGTAGGCAGGTCGGCGGCAAATAATTTACTAATAAGTTAGGTATTACATTGAAACTCTCGGATACATCGCACCTGTAGCCTGCTGTTGTAGTCGTCTGTGTGATTTTAGTAATAATTGAGCGCGCGTTTTCCCATTTGCAGGGCGAAACTCGAAAACGATTCGGCAACGAGTGTAAATAAAATTAATTAGACGGAACCGGACAGAGAAAACGATATAATGATAAATCTATATATTTTTTCTTTTTATCTTTACACGTAGATACGCACGACTAATAACACTGTAGTCAATAATATAAAAGGTAATTGGTTACTGGAGTAGGTACTAGGTAGTAGTAGTCATAACAATATCTATATAGACACGCACAGCTGTTACATTGTCGCTTGTTGATAAGTTACCACAGTTATAGATAACTCTTTCGGTAGAAAATTTTCAACGAATTTTTAATTCGAAACCACAGATATATTGTTATCTATCTCAGTGCCTATATTATAATATAAAAGTGTATAATGAAGGTTATTATCTATAAACCTTGGTGTATAATATTCACGTTCGATACCTACTATCAGAATTGATAAGGGTCGCATAAAACCATAAATAATAGAATGATTTATCTATGTACAAAATACAGTGAAATGAACAGAAACACGGACGTCATAATCAGAAAAATAATAACCAATCACCACCTACTTTCTAAAATATTTTTGTTACTTCGTAGACATTTTCACATCGCACTTTTTCTGCTGCTACCTACTCGACGTGGTTTTGCGCAACAAAGCGGGATTTATTTTCAATTAAAACTACGACACGAGTTAACGCATGTAACAGGGAATGTGCAATGTAAGTTGAAATTGGAGTTTAAACACGACTAGCAAATTTAAAGAAAGGATAATATCTTCAAGGGCTGTACGTAACTTTTTCCTAAGTAAATTGCTTTCCAAAAAATTGACTGCCATGGTAATTTTATTTAATTAAAATAGGTTCAAATCTTAAAATTGTTTTAATTATGATTATTATGATAACTATTGAAATCCAAACGCCATAATAATTTATGTTCTAAGTACCCGGGTAACGTGATTTAGCTATGCAGTGCTGTAATAGAAAGACCACCGCGCTGGTATATCACTCTAAACCGAAAAATATATAGGTAGGGTTTACCAATACCCATATTTATATTGTATTCTTTGTAATAATTACGACTGAAATGCAACTATTAACAATTGTCTTAGAGTGCGCCGAGTTTCCTATACTTAGTTTATACATTGTAAATGCACACCATGTGTATCTATTGGTCGTCGCAGTCAACTTTTATCAGATGAGTGAGATTGATGTACAATAAATTATTGTCAGTTGAATTTTAGTAATTTAATATAAATTGTATTTCCGTCGGAGTCTAGTAATGATTATTTCAATGTTAACAACGAAATAAAGATGCGTTTTTTTTTTTTTCAAATTCTTAACTATGTAAAAAAGTTTTCAACGTAAACACTTGCAACAGATTGGATATAACAATAACCATTTTAAACATTTCAACGACCGTTAAACCCGTTATGTATACGGTGGTTCAATTTATATAAAATAACGGTAATAACACCCAGTGGCGTGCCCAGGAATTTTCAATGGGAGGGGAGGTAACAAATAAAAACCGTGAAAGAAGTGTAAAATCGCCCTCTTTACCCAACTCGACTATGAGAATTGGTAATTTAAAAGCCGGATTTTAAAAAAAGGCAATTTCTAATCAATACATAAAGCTTTTTCTCAGAAATCTGCCGAAATTTATGAGTTTCAATATTAGATTACTCTTTTTTTGTTGTATTTTTAAGCCAATGGGAGAGATATAATCCCTCCCCCCCCCCCGGGCACGTCACTGATAATACCCACTTCGCAAGGAAAATACAGCACATAAAAAAAAGTTTTTAGAATTTTATAATTACCTAAGTAAGTAGATGTAGCTACTACTTATTTTGTTTATTATGAAAAAATGTACGGGCAACTTCGCACGTGTATGCAGCTACTGTTGTAGGTGGAAAGTTTAGAAGGTAGGATACCTTCTAAAGCATAATGTAATTAAATGAATCAATCTAATGAATGTTGAAGTTCGTCTCGTAAGTATTCGGTTGAGGATTTAATAATCCGAATCCAGATTATTTATTGGAACAAATGTCAAGACTCAAGGGTACAATCATTTTTACTGAAATTGAAAAATCGACATTATTTCGCTAATTCGATACATTCCCTATAAATCACATTTTTTTTTTTTTTTTTTTATGACAATTGTATGTTAAATGATAAGGACAACCACCATACATTAAAACATAAGAATATTCATTTTTTTGTAGATTTTGTGATGGCTTTTTCAAAATCACAGAATACTGAACTCGGTTTTAATTGGCTTAACATTTTAAATAATTTATCGCATGTTGTTTTTTTTTGAGGGGGGGGGGCAATATAGTAGATGTTCAAAGCTTCGTTGTAGTGTCCTGGTTTCGTTATTGATTCTAATAACAACAGAATAATACCTATCCAGTAAGATTATACAATAAATAACAATATGTATTATATTAAGTATATTATTTTCATAGTGTTGTTAAGAATTCCGTTGCAGCCTTTATTATATTAGTTTGAAGACAACTGCTTGAAACAAACTAATAGAAATAGAATATGGTGACATTTACATGAACGTCTAACCTAACCAAATTGAATTACAGTTATTTAAAATGGTTTTCTAACTTAATTTATTTCGTCACTTTATTATTGTTATTATTGTATATTTTTGGCGTCCAAATGTTCCTCGCGCCAAACGCCCAAACTGATCGCATACATTAATTGTCCTATAGTAGCCATATTATTCATACTAGCGAATATTAAAAAAAAACCGGAACTAAAATATAAGAACATTAAGAATTTTAAAAATGCCCCGTCAACTATTTACAAATTAAGATGGTTTAAATAATTAAGATTGTTTTCTATACATAAACATAATATGCGACTAGTAAACCCGAATTAATTCAAAATTGTATACGGAATTATAGTTTATTGTTTTAAATACGTTTAAAAACCGTAATCTTTGCAGTTTGCACGTCCGCTGCACAGTGGGTTTATTCTTGATTTATTTTGAGGTGATCGTATATACGAATTTGAATTCGCTTACAGGTATATGCTTACTTGTGAAATTAGTATAAAAATATGCCTCAATTCCGTACATGATAGGTACCTATGAAATATTCAACAGTATTTTAAATTTAAAAAATAATATTGATTTGGTAGTATAACAATGGCTGAAGAAAATAAAATTGTAAATCGCCCTATAAAATGCTGTTTTTTGTATAATAAAAGAAAAATCCAATTTTAGCAATAGGTATAGGTATTAAAAAATTGAAGACGTCAGAACTTTAGTCATGAAACGGCTTTTATTGTACTTTATCGTGGTGTCCCCGTGCTCCGTAGCCTTAACGATAACAGATGAACGTCGGATGAAGTCAGTTTCTGTCGCGGCTGGTGCACTGACACTCGACGGCGAAAACGATTGTTGACGTCACGCACCCGATGATCCAGACGACCATGACCACTTTGAACTGCTTATAGCTGAGCGCCGACGGCCGGTTGCCGCCGTTCCTGTGTGGTTTTATCTCGTACACCTGTTTGAACGTGGCCGGCGACATGCGAGCTTCAGTCACCCGGCTCAACCAATATTCAATGAGTCCGCCCTCGAAGATTCGCTGGATGACTAGATTGGCCGACTTTACGTACGGCGAGTGCTTGACGAACCCAAACCCAATGTACAGCTGGTTCATGCAGGTCCGGGCCGTTCGCAAGTCGTTCAGTATGGCCGCCGGCACATTTTCTGTCTCCATGAAGTGCTTCTCGTACAGGCACTTGGCCAGCGTGGCGTATTGGCCGCGCTTCAGCCGATCCACCCGGTCGTCTATGTTGCGTTCCGGCACGAAATTTTCGATGAACGCCCGGTGGACAGGATTCTACGGAGTTACAAACAAAAGCTGATTGTAGATGTATATTATGAGCTGAACATGATATTCGTGTATGTTAGCAAACACGTATTTTATCCAAAATAGTATTGAGAGTATTTATTTTATTTTATAAACACATCGGTACTACGGAAAAAGTTTTTCGAGTTCGAAGAAAATTATATTTTCAAATTTTAAGACAATAAATAGTAAGTTTTTCTATGAAAACAAATCGAAACAAAAAAACAACGTTGCGCAAATTCTTCTCTTATTAATATCATGAAAATTTGTTTTTCTATAATCCTATGTGTAATAATTATTAATTAAGACCAGGAATGAAATGATCGGTCTAGAAATAAGAAAATTCCCCTGACAGTAACAATGTCATCAATAACTATACGGACGGACACAACCGCGATATATAAGTTATTTGTTGTACTAAACTAAAAAAAATTTAAAAATATACCATTTGCCTCATTTTGTCCTCAACTAAATATACCAGTTGCTCTAAACCAAATGTACCAGTTCACGGACATGCGCAGAAAAAAGTTAGAACAATAATATAACATTAAAATGGATTAAGTAATTAACCATACAAAACACCAAAAATATCGCGGGGGTGTTAGAACACCTAAAACACCCCCCCCCCCTGCGTACATGCCTGTACCAGTTGCTTTCATTATATAAAATAACGCGTTTATACTTTATAGTATAAATAAGGGCATTTTACCGAAATTGATAACTTTAAAAACAACAGAGAAAATTATGTATGATACATAATGACAAATAATGATGCTCGATAGCATTTTTAACAAAATACAATGTATGCCAATTGTTATTATCATTGAAAATATCGTATTTATTATATGTTTTTATTTAAGAGTTTACCTCTCCTATTTTTAAACAGGTATAATATTGTGTTTGTGTATATACGTTAAGGGCGACTGGTGCATTTTGCTCTAGGTAGTTTGAGGGGAATTGGTACAAAAATAGGTACTTTTGAAGGCAACCGGTAGACGCCCTATTTTATTAGGTGGCCTGGATACATTTAAACCTCCGGCCTGCATTCGATTCCCACTCTGTCCTTGATGAAGATAGTAGCCCGAACGGTTGAAGCAAACATGGGACGATTTTACTGAAAAATAAAAAAAAATTTTACCTGCATTTGAAATATAAAATCAAACGGCGGTGGATAAGTTAAGCCCCAATGGTAATTGGCTTTCACCATATCCTCGATCTCTAAAACAATATTTGTGTACTCGGGTGATGTAATGTACGAATAAAGAATACTGGAAAACGACGTGGACATGATGAACATAAATATACACCACCAATTAATCAAATGACGTATAGGTCCCATTCGATTGGTACGTGGATTATTGGTTAATAACATCATTCCGACAATCCAAAAAATCGTTGACGATAACGAAGTAAATGCTAAAAACAAAAAAACAAAACAAAAATGGATAAATTAACAAAATAAATAATAATAATTAATTAAACAAACATTTTCACTAATTCTGTAGGTTATGTTATATTCAGTTAGAGAAATGAAATTTGAATTGCTATTGGAAAATCTGTTTTATAATATATTTAAGTTGTAAAAATAATCTAATCAGATAAGTATAGGAGTTAAACATCAAATTTGATCATAGCTATACTATTTTAGTGTCTTATAACATAGTGATTAATAAAAATCAATAATCATCTAAAACCAATAAAATGATTGTATTGTATTAATTACTTTAATATCACGAATATCATAAATATCTTTAATTTTTTTATCTTTAATATCATATTATATATATTATAAATATTATAAAGTGGCGTATTTGAGGGGGGGCGATGGGTGGATTGCCCCCTCTTTAGAATTTTTTAGCTGTGATTTTTCAATCATAACCAACATCATTTGGCCAAAAAACTATAACGTCCCTAAATTTAAATTTTTCACATTTCTGAGATTTGCCCGATTTCGGCTTTTGATTGTAACATATATATTATATAATATTTATTTTTTTTTTTGTATATGACTAATTATCGTTCATACCTATAAACTATTATTTTTTTAATTGTCAAGGAGAGGAGTTTTAAAAAAAAAAATGATTGAAAAAACTGTTGTTTTTTTTTTGGGACGAGGATACCCCTCGTGATATTTTGTGGTGTATTACAATTTTTAAATCACCACCTCCTTGATTGAGCTCCAGATACGCTACTGACATAGTAATAATATAATATATTATGTGAGATCTAATAACTTTCAGTGCCCATGTAATATGTAGGTACATACTTTTTGACAATTTATATTTAAATAATGATCAAGAATTAAAAGCTTCATAATTTAATATCATATTAAACGTGTTATAAAATGGAGCATCAGATAATATTTTTACAATAATATGATAATTGTGAAACGTCATAGAAATTAAACGGGGGGGAGCAAAAAAAATATCAGTGAGCAGCGGATCTCCGGCACTAGAGTCGGCTTGTTACCGTCACAGAAATTCATTTTTTATTCCTAATCTAAAATAGTTATGGCTTCTAGATTTTTTATACATTTTTGTCTGCAGGGTATTTAAAACCACACATTTTATATGAAAATAAGAAATTTGAACATAAAAGTGATGGGGAAGAGGTTAAAATTTTAAATCCATAAAAGGCACATCCTTGATACTTTTACACCATACAAATACAAAATTGTATCCCACTGGATTCATTTTTGGGGTTCTTAGGGGGTGTAAAATGCCAAATAAACACCCTCCCGGTGGAACAACATGGTGAAATTTATACTGAAATTCAACAACATTTTATATCTTCAATTCGCATATGAAACAACTTTAATTCCCAAGTTTGTGTTCATTTAGTTCATAAGGAATCACTAAAAGTATTAAAAAATAGCGAGGAAAAGGTATAAAACAGACACAATAATTTAAAAGTTTAGCCAGAATAACAGCTTTTGAATAATTTTAAATACTTTTATTTATAATACTTTATGATACTTTATTTGAAATATTTATCAATATTTTGAGCAGTACTAGTACTGATCTATTTTGTTATTATTTTTTAGTTTTTATTGATTTCTGGGTTACCTTGGCCAACAATAGCGAAAAATCGTGACTAGTACTACTCCTCACCTACAAGAGTGACTTACCCGTGACCTGCAGTATCAACTTTTAGAAGTATTGCAATCGATGACTTATATATTATGCAATGTATAATATATTTAAATAACTACTATAACTAACCGTTAATTTGTTCGTAACCGATTTGTTTTTGGACGTCAGCCATTATCCGCACTGTAATTATTGTCAACGATGCTGAGAATAAAACTAATAGCCACAAACTCAACGGAAAGGGTTTGAACAGCAAGTCCCATTTTTCTCGCAATGGCTGAGGTTTAGGCACCAAAAATTTTAAACACATCAACGTCCAAAATCTAGACATGTCAATGAACTTCAATCTCGTGTCTTCGATCCAAAGCGAGCAAAACGCTACATCGGCTCTTTTCATAAACAGCCATTTAAGAGCACCGCCGGTCACTGTATTATTTAAATGCGCCGTCCCCCATTTGTCTTCATCGTTGGAAGTATACACGTCCCAAGTAATGTTTATTCTTTTAGCGATTTCTTTGAATAAACTGCATTCAACACCGTTGGCTAAACCTATATTTTATTAACTATAAGTTATTGTAAGAAAAACTAAATTCATTGTAGACCAGTGGCATAACTATAGCAGGTAAGTTGGCAAAGTGGGACTGCAGGTATCCCCGATATCAGGGGCCTAAAAAATATCAAGTTCCTGTCCGAAAGTCAAACAATAGAAAATTATTTGATTATGTTTTTCACAATTTATAATTTATTTTTTTATCAACATCTACGTACAATTTAAGAGGATGTCACACTCGTATCTACTTTCTCAGTCTAACTAACGGGCAACATACCAAAATTGCATTACTTAGAATTTATAAATTAGGTTAAATTAATAGAGTTTAAACACAAATAAAAAATTTAAAACTAATAATATTATCAATAATTATAAGTTACAGCCATGTAAAATTCAAAAACTAACGTATCACGTATTATAATTATTTAGAAAAAAGCTACGTACACTTTTGAAAATATTGTCTTCTTTAAATTGTGTTGTTTGTACTTAAAATCTTATTTCAACTTACATGACACAATTTAGTTCGAAGTCACCTAATTTTGTTATGTTCGTTAACTAAACTGAGACAGTATACATGGGTATGGGCGTGCTTTTAATAGGGGAGAGCTAAATTAATCATAATACCATTGCATTATAGTTATCATTAGTTAATTAATAGCTATACACATATTCAAAATAATATTTTTATAACACAATATTGTGTTTCTTTATTATGTAGAATTAATTGATAAGATAGCTTAATACTTATTCAAATGTAAATAATTAAAACAAGTTGTGTATGTTATTTGTATATTGTATTTTTATTCTAATTTTCTTAAATAAGTAATTATGGACTTTCCTGAAAAATGGCTTTTGGTTGACTGGTAGGACTGAGGGAGGGTCCCAATTTGTATTTAACTTTAGGACCCCCCGCATGTGTCTAAAAAATTGCATCACTACAGTAAATACATCTTTATAATAATTTTAAAACTGTGTGTATCTACGATCTTTTAAACGACTCACTTAGTTTTCCAGTTTCGCTATTGTTGATTACACTACTAAATAACGTATTGTTGTACGCTATCAATTTAACACGAGTCTTGTGAAAGTTTTTTACATTTTTTTTTCCTTCTAAATCCTATAAAATTCAATGATGAATAATTAATATTATTTTATACAAGTAGGAAACCTACCGGTCCTAACTTGGACAGTCGTAGAACAGTTAGTCTAATAATATAATTCCAACTTTATATACGTCTTTTATTACATACAGATAACCACAATAATGGAAGAAATTTTGGAAAGAACACCAGAGAGAAGCAGATTAAGGCAATCATTTATGTAACAAATTAATTTATGTTGGATATAGGAGAAAATAAAGGAATCCTACAAGAATTTAAAGGAAGTTACTACGGATAGAGAATAGCAGAGAAACATTGCATCGTTCAACTAATCTACGAATTGGAAAAAAAATACTTACGTGTCCAAACCATTGGTCCTGTTGTTTAGACAATACCACAAATTTCTCGTGGTATATGCTCATTTGATACACTGTCTCCTTTTGTGGATGTACACTTATCAGTATAACGTCTTTGAAATTAAAATCGTTTGGTGAATACTGAAAGATTATTATTGTATAAGTACAATATTATAATAAGTTATTGGAGACTCTGGTGAAAAATTCAGACAACTCAACTTTCCTTAAAAATTCGTTTTTTGACGGTATAATTTAAAGAGGAAAAAATACTCTTTATTATTGGGAGAAACAATCTGCAGATAAATCCGATATTATAAGAATTAATAATAAAATAATAATACATTTCTTTTCAAAGAAAATCCGTTCCGTTCCTTGTTCGTTAATCATTTAACATTACAAGGAACTCGTTCCACAAACCCGCCTTGTTATTAGTCGTAAGGAATTCGTTCATTTCCTCATTTTTACAAAAAAGGAATCTGTACTTTGTCTGTTTCATCCGCATGTTTCGCAGATTTTTTCGCGGACTTTTTTTATATTTATAACAACTTGTTTAAATATAAATCAAATCTTATATTAAATACATTTTATTAGGTATTTAGTATTCCAATAATATTATAAATTATAATAATATACGAAATACTAATAATGCAATATATGTAGCAGTGGCGTATATCACAGCGAGAGAATCACAGTATGCCTCAACCAATCCCCCCTGCTAAAATTGTAATTTATAATACTATTATGAAATCCAACTATCTAAGTCCTCCTAAAAAAAATAATAAAAATAATAGATGACCTATGCGGAACTGCAGTGACAAAAGTAATAAACTGTAAACTATTCGATTTTAGTTTTGAGCTGTTTGATCCTTCAAAAAAATAATATATATTTAAAAAAATATATTTATTTATTTCAAAATTAAAATTATTAAACAAACGTAATCAATACACACACTCGATTTTCAAATGTGTCGAAATTAAACATTTCTGGCTTATATAGGTATCTCGTGATAAATTTAAACATAAATAAATAACGCAATATACAAAACATTTTGTTAATATCCGTACTGTAACTAAATGAATATTTTTACAAATTAGTGACTAAAAAAAATATATCATAGATATAATTGAATAGGTACTTTATAGATTTCTGTCAGTTTTTATCGATTCCGTTATTAGATGTCTAAATTACGACACTTTAACAGCAGGTCTATCGATGATTTCGCGATAGATTTTGATTTAAAAAGCAAAATTGGGGAAGGAGCGTTTTCTGAAGTATGGCTGTGCATCCAACGAGACAACGAAAAGGAATATGCGGCGAAAATATTGAAAAAGAATTACGGGAAAACCATGGATGAGGACGCGTGGAATGATATATCCGAAGTGAACATATTGAAGTCAATTTTACCTCATCCGTTCCTGTTAATGATGGATATGTGTTACCACGAAACGGGACTAGGAAGAGTCATTTTGATTTCGGAGCTAATGAAAAAATCGTTGTACGACGTAATCGAAGCAGGCGAATGTCCTCTATCGGATTTTCGCATAAAAACTTACATATATCAAATGTTAGAAGGTATGTAAGTACATAAGTACTTCGTAAATATTACCTTTATATCTGTATGTACATACGTATTACAGAGAAAATCCGAAATCTGTTCAGTGGCCGCCACACACCCATCTATAACTGCACTGTCTTATTGTCTTATACACGCACGACATGGTAAATTTGCGTTTAGTAAAACAAATTTAATGTTGTTAGTTTTAATATTAGAGTGAATTATACTTATTGAACTATTACTAATTTGAATGGTAAGAACATAAACTGTGTTCCTATATCAGTGTTTTTGCGACACCTAATTGCATTTCCACGCGAAATACTAATATGTTAAATACTAAAATATTATAAATTAAAAACGCTAATATCTTATTTAAAAAATAAAACCCAAAATGTTCTTAACTTTAAATTCAGTGTAAGATTAATTCAGTCTAAAATTAAAACTAAATTTGCCTTACTGAACGAACATTTACTATATCGTGCGTTTGTTGGACGCTCGGAAACAATTGGTGCGAGTGTAGCGTTCTCTTAAAACTAGGATTTAGTAGAAAAAATTGAAGTAGGTAATATAAACCGCAGTATTGGATTTAATGGTAGAATCGAGAGGGTCCAGTCTCCCCTCCCATTAACTTAACGTCTAGGTAAACATTTTTTTAAAAAACCTGTACGTCTATGGAAGCATTCATATTTTCTTAACATACGTCAACTTTTACTAATTATTTCAGTATTACTTGTAACAACGTCTACAAGTGACAGGAGAGGTCTTTTTCAACTTTGAAAAGGATTACATTTTTAAAATGACGGTGAGAGAAAATCATACAAATGAGCTGGCATTATGAAATACCCATAAGAAAATTATTGTAAAACTGGAAAATGGTATAGATTTATTCGCTAAACACTCCTAGTCGTTTATTATAATATATTAGATATATTATTATTATTATTTATTTTATTATACAAATATTTTTAATTTCCATTTTTACTACTAATACTAAATTAAACCAAATTATACTCAAATTTTTAAATGCTAAATTTAGGTACTATAATAACGTTTTTTTTTTTTTATTTATTAATTTCATATATGTTATACTTAATACTTTTATGTAAAACTTTAGGTTCCACCCCCTAAAAAAGTTGATTTAAACTAATACTCCAGCGATTCCCTACCCATAGGCCCAGAGGTGTAGCTAGAAATATTTTTCTGGGTAGGCCAGATAAAATAAGATAAATTTTTGAATAGGAAGACTACTAAAACAAATTTTTGATTTTAAAATTGTGTTAATTTTCGGAGAAAAATGGGTAGGCCCGGGCCTACCAGGCTTACCCACTGGCTACGCTACTGCATGGGCTGTGGTCAATGTGATACTGGTCCACAGACGCTGGTCGAGGACATAAGCCAATGGTTGGAAAATTTAAAAAAATGTATATTATTTTAATCTAAACGTCTATGTTAAATATTTTGATCGAGATTTAATAATAATCCCACAATTATCGCCATCGTACAATTGTATTGATTATCGTTTTCTCATACAGTTGTCTAGAATATTTTTGTCATTTTTATCGTATTTTATCATGCTTAGCCTAGAATGTGGACAAGTTGATATAGTTGATCCCGATATTGATTATCCTGTAAGAGAAAAACAATATAAAATATCGCATTGATTTTATTTTAACTTTAACCACTTATTTGTAAGTCGAAAACAATAATTAATTAATTTTTGTATACAAATTATTTTTTTTTATTTTTTTGTTTCCTAATTAATGACGTATGTGCAATATGTACATTATAGTATATAGATATATATTGGTCATGCGTATATAATAGGTGTTTATTTGTTTTTATTTTTACTTGTATATTAGATTAGTGGGCTTCAAAGTTTCGATGGTCCGCACAACTAAAAAGGTTGGGAACCGTAGTAATACTCCATTCTATTTACAAAATATTTAATATAGGGTTCCACTTGAAAATCAAAAATATATCTAATAGTCGTGATTTCAACCCCCAAAAATTACGGTGAAAAACAAAATGGTAATTTAACATTTTAGAGCGACGTGTATTTTTTACATTTTCTAAAAAACTAATTCTGAAAAAATTAGTATTGCACGATAAATGAATCACTTTCTATACCCATCTAATGACAAAAATAATCGGGTTAGCAGCAAAACTCATTTTTACCATTTGATACCTTTGGACCACTATTTAATAAAGTAAAACTATAGTTTTTACTTACAACACCTACTTGTATAGTTCCAACTTATTTAGAGTCTACATAAATTAATTATGTTTATAAATGTACCTGATTATACTACTATTTCGAATTTCGAAAAGGTTTGAAATACATGCACGAGAATGGCTTCATTCACAGAGACATTAAACCGGAGAACATTCTGCTCAAATCGCGGGACAAGTTATTGAAAATCGGCGATTTCGGGACAGCGTGCCATGTGACGGCGGGCTATCCTTTTACGGAATACGTGGCGACACGGTGGTACCGGTCGCCGGAATGCTTGCTGACACGCGGCTGGTACAGTACGAAATTGGACATCTGGGCAGCTGGGTGCGTGCTCTTCGAAATGGCTACCGGCCGGCCGCTTTTTGACGGCCAAGACGAAAACGATCAGATGGAAAAAATCGATCGGGTATTAGGGCGCCCGGACGCCCGGTTGTTGGGCAAGTTCAAAAAACATAGCTCGGACGTATTCGATAAACGGTACAATAAGTGTTCCGCTGTCGCTGTCCCCGGGGTCGGGTTTCAAACCGTCTATCCGCCGTTCCGGTCCGCGTTCGAACTAATGAAAGCCATGATCGTCTACGATCCGGTCAAGCGGTACTCGGCTGACCGGCTTTTGCGTATGCCGTACTTTTGGGAGATGAAAAATACAGTTTACGACTACAAAATGAGAAAGTTCCAAGAGACAGTAATAAGGAACAGGCAGACGGACAACAATAATTATATCCCGGAACAAGAAAAAGTAAGTTTACATTTTTATTTACGTATCTATAGTTTTCGCACTTTTTTGAAAAGCCGGCATCATTTTATTCAACTGATTAAGAATTATATTTAATGAGAAATTTGTATTTTTGTTGTGGGATTACCTCATGGTGATTTTTTTTTATTAAAACTAGACGTAAATACTCACAACCTACTAGATATATTAAAACAAACTAAAAATACTAAAACCAAAATCACTAAAACCGACTGGATACTTGCAGAATATATAAACAGGAAGTACCTATACTTCGAGGATATTATATATACCTAGTAACTTTTAATTTATTGCCCGGAACACATAGTTTGTTATTATTATCATTTGAATAATTTTGTGAATCTTAAATTTTCCAAAAAAAAAATCAATACTTTTTAAAATACAATTTTTTAAATAAAAGGAGTTTTTCAGTTGATTTTATACAATTATTAAAATTATTATTTTATATTATTATTGATGTTTCCATAACCCTTTCTCTGTGTCAAATTGTTCCACAAACTACGATCACAATAATCTACCTTTTTACCATAACCACTTTGTTATTGTTTTATCGTTATCTTTATGTTAAATAAATAATATTTATAAAATAAATGACAAAAATTAGTTTCGCGAAAGTACACTACTTACCTACTTACATTAAAATACTATTTTTTTACTCGTATCTTATTTAGTCGAATCCAGCGAAACAAATACATACGCCGATGAATAATAAACAAGAAGCCGGAGGAGATCGTGCACAACAAATTCATCCACAGACTAAGGTTAAGGGTTATTGCGAAAAGATTGAACAGGATCTATTCGTACAACAATACAACAATAATCAATATCAAGAAGTCAAAATGCCCTCCTCGGACAGAAATCGAAAGCAAATACCGAATACTAATAAGTCGTATTCAAAGGCTAATACGAAAAATAGTTTCCTGTCGAAAAAACAGTCTACGGTTTCGGTACCGACGCCAAACACAGTAGTAGTAATAAAAATGAATCTTAAAAGTAACCAGATAAACAGGCCACCGTTCAAATGATATAATAGTTACAAATATTTGTTTAAAATATTTTCATTTGAACAAAAAAACATTTGTTTTAACTGATTAATGAGGTATTATAATTCGTGTATTTCAATTTATAATGTTTCTCTACAATTATTTATTTTCTAAGAAATAATATAAAAAAATATTTATATTTATTTATTTGCGCCTCAATGGGCAATTTTGCTTAAATATATGTTACTGAGTCACCCATGAATAGATACATTTAAGTTTTAGATACTTATTAATTTCACAGTAACAACTAATAACATAACTACCTAATTAAATCTTTTAGACTAGACAAATTGATTTATATGAAACCTTCTTAAAAATATATTATAAAATTCATATAATTCAATACCTACTATATTTGTATTGAGATACAAGACGTAGGTATATAGAATACACAACTGGATAGCAATAGAATATAAAATCAAAAATATATATATAGCAATTATAGTGTACCTACTCACTACGTATTGCATGCATCGCCATCATAGGTAAAGAATTATTGTCATTACGATAATAGACAATGTCGATATAAATCAAAAATATAGAAAAGGTATTAAAAATTTTTTTTTAAATTACGTCCTAGGATAATGGAGTCGGGTGCAGCCACTGTTATAAGTAATTTAATGTATACCTAGAAGCAACGATAACCATTGCTAACGAAAAACCGATTCTAAGCAGAGTTCAGTTGATAGTGAGGCTTTTTCAACAATATGTGTCATATTATAGTAAAATAATTAAATAGATATTATATATATTTTTTTAATAATACCTATTTGTTTAATATAATGGTTTTCCCGTTTTTCCTACGTTCTCCGGTTTTCCCATTTATTTTCCTGGTTTTTCCACATTTGCTGAGAAAACTCTTGAGAATATCTAAAAATGGCCCTGATAAAGTACCTCCCTGCACCGATTTCCTTTCAGAAAAGGTGCTACACTTAAAAATCGGAGCAAAATTTCTGGTTGAAAAGTTGCACACAGGCAAAAAAAAAATAAACATCATTGTAAAACCATTAGCTTCTTTGCTCCATTCAGTCTAAAATTCGCATCATACTCTAGCACCACCTGTTAATAAATAATAATACATGATACCCACAAATTTCAAAACAAAATCTAATATTTTTAACATGGTTATAATATAATATAATATATACAGTGGTCGAAGTGGTGGGGATACGGGGGGAATGAAATCCCACCACTTTAATTATATACAAAGACTAGCTGAATTACCCGGCGTTGCCCGGGAACAAATTCGTGACAAATTAGATAACGCCATGTATTACCATTTACCGTCTTAAATTCATAATTATCGATAATATACATAATAACCTAAAAAATAGGAGTATTGTTGTACGCGCGATGCATGAGATTATTTTTAACGATAAACTTCTCGGGACAATTTTATTTACGGAATCATTATTCTTATCTACACGACGACGACGACGACGAACAAAAAGGATAGGTTGCTGGTAGCTGGAAACCCGCGGGCCGCCGTGCCGCACAATACGTATTGGCAGTGAATAATTATTATCGTTAATTACTCCACTAAAACGCAACATTTTTGAAAATCCTTTCTTATTGCACGGTGAAAATATGAGAAGAACCTCTATTCCAAATTTTAAGTCCGTACGTTGAGTAGTTTTTGAGATATAGCGATCAGTCGGTCAGTGGTATTTGGATTTTATATGTATAGATTATCGATTTATATTGGTGTTTTTATATCATAGTATGTCTAAATCCATAGACTAATAATGTATTATTAGTTTGGTTTTTTTATTTGTTTTTATACCTATTGTATAATGATATAATAAAAACCTGTTAGAATCTATTGATAAACTGTATGTGCATAAATTATATATTTATGTAAATATGTTTTACATTTTAAATAAAAATATAATTATATGTATATGCAAATGTAAATATCAACAAATAAAACACCAACCTGAAAAACAAAAATGTATACTATAACTACATAAAATTATATTATAAAAATAAAGTACAGGGCCATAGAGGTTCAACTCATCTCCACCTCCAATTACCGGCACGTGTATAAGCCATAGTATAAGAATAGTATATAAGTTTAGACATCTTTCCACTTATTTTGAGCCATTTCGACCACTGAATATATATCAGAGATTATAAAACAAACATGTATTATCAAGTTTACCAGATACCTAATTGAGAAATAATTTATGATATTTTATAGTTTGACAATATTATAATTGATATTATTTGAGTACCTATTTCCAGCAGTTTTATGTTTACATACAATTATTTGTAAACCTTGCTAGGTTATATGTTGTTTTATAATTTGTGTTAAATTTAGATTCTGAGTATAGCAAATAATGTATTGATTTCACAAAGATGTTGTACAAAAATTCTATCAGAATCTTGCTCCGATATGTACATGCAGCATCATTTCTAAAAGGAAATATTGTCCAGATGGTACTTTAAGGAGGTCATTTTTTTAATTTTCCAAGTGGTTTTCATAATATCTGGGAAAACCCGGGATAAAACGTAAGAAAAACGTAAGAAAAGTTATTTTACGAAAATAATGCTTTTTATTATTTTCAATTTTGTTATTTATTGTAATTCAATTAAAAATATTCATAGAGACTTGAAATTTGGACACAATAATTGTATTGCGTTTTCTAAACGTGGTCAAATGTTCAAATTTTTTATTCATTTTTTAGCTATTTACAGCTATTTATTTTAATTTTACAAGTTTTATACGGTTTTTTTTTTATTGAGTAGGTACTCTGTGGTGAAATTGTCTAAACAGAAATGCTTGAGAATTTAACGGGAGGTTCATTAATAATCGTACTAAATAGTAAAAAAATTGAGCTTAATGTAGCACTTTTTTTTATTGAGGAATTTTAATATCAAATTTTGATGAAAATCGTTTGAGTAAAAAATATGTGGAACAAATCTAATTTTTTAATTTTGAACATATTATATATATTGCCAATTAGAAACGATGGTGAAATCAGAGTTGAGCGGACTAATTTAGTTTTGAAATTATAGCTTTTTGAAGTTTTTATATTATGTGGATATTATAATATGTTAAATAACTCAATATTTTCAATTTTAAAATATGTCTGTCGTAGTATAATGGTTGTTCGTATCTTTTGTCATTCTGTGGATCGCGAGTTCAAACCTAAGTTTCGAAAAATATTGTTTACATTTGTCTTTTCCCATTTACCTAAACAAAGAAAAAACAAATGCATTTGGGTGTACCTAGAGTACTAGAGTATTTTAATCGAAAAAAACCCCTAGAGTTGTTCAAATTTTTCTACCAGAAATCTTTCTTCAATGTATCAAGTGTAGCTTATTTTCTGAAAAGAAATTTTATCTACATAGTACTTTAGGGAAGTCATTTTTTCCCAGGAGTTTTCCCGATACGTGGAAAACATGAGAAAACTTGGAAAAAACGGGAAAATAAATACAATATTAAACAAATGTTATTAATAAATATACATGAATCATAATGCATATGTAATTATTTTACCATAATGTGACATATATATATATTGTTAACAAAGCAACGCTAACCTAACCGAACTCAGAACAGAATCGTTTTTCGTTAGCAATGGTTAATCGTTGTGTACAGTTATAGGTACATTAAACTTCCCCTCTATTATCTCAACTTCACATCTAAAACAGTAACCCACCCACGAGCAAAGTATGTCCGTCTTTTTGTTAACTGTATTTATTTAATAATTAAGTCTGGTAATTATTGTCAGTAGGTATGTATGAACTGTATGGTATCTACCTAAATCATCCAAATCATTTCCGTTTGGAAAATTAATTTAAGGTTGATACCTGTGTTATTTTATAAAAAATTAAATAGTAACTATAATAAGATGATGTCCTTTACAATAACCACTCATTATTAGTACTAATTTGCAAATATCTACCTTTGACCTTTTTAACATAGCTTATCTTTAAAATTAATTAAATTTTAAATATTAATAAAAAAAAAATGATCTTATTTTTAGAACGGGTGAGCCACAGATGTGGATGAGAAGTTGGAAAGGTTGGGTACATAATGTTATTAAATGTATATCTGCACGCAACAATTAACTATTGCTAACGAAAAACGATTCTGAGTGGAGTTCGGTTAATACTTAATAGGGTTACTTTGTCAACAATATATGTCACATTATGGTACAATAATTACATTAGTTGCAGTATATATTTTCTTTAATAATATTTGTATAATAGTAAAGTTGAAAAGTTGTTCACAGATAAAAAATAAACATCATTGTAAAACTAATATACATCAAATAGCACTAAATCCATATGTAATTTAATTTAACTATTCAGTGAGGATTCGCTTTTTACTTATATTTTATAAGAACTATAGCTATAGTAATAAATTAGCTTATTCAGAGAAAAAGTTAGTCTAGACCCAAAGGGGGGAACAACTGCCTCATTTGCCCTCCTCCGTTTAAACCCGTCACTGAAACCAATACAATTATCATCAGAATCTAAAATACCACCCAGGTGATAAAAACCTGAATGTGTACCTACCGGTACACTTTAGGGTGAGATGTAGGCAATCTTAAAACATTTTTCATAGATATCACTGTACTTGCTAAAAAAAAACATTTTTATTAATCGAAAGTGTTTTCTAAAAAAAAAATGATACTTTAATTTTAATAAACTACACTTAATATCTAAAATATAGTATATTTATTATACAGCAATCTTACTTTTAAGAATGGTTTAATGTATTTCCTGCTCTGGACGACTACTATTAACATTCTTTGGGCTGCACTGTTTTTGAATCTTTCCAAATACCTGTCAATGGTTGTCAGCTGACAGCCGATAACCACGTAGGCCGCGCAGTACGAAGTTCGGTCATCCGGTCCTGACAATTCATCTAGCAGTTCAACCGTCCTAGTGGCGGTGACACGATCGTACAGCATGGCCAATATTGCAGCCGCTACTGCGGTGTCGTCGGTCATAACTTTTAGACATCGCTGCGTAGGACCGAATGTCTTATTGACGTATGCAACCATCGCGGTCATGGTCAATCGATGTGGCCTGTCCGGTACATAAGGCACCAGTTGTCCGTCTACAGTGGCCAATACTGCTACCGACAATAACAGCAATGGTGGCCGTCTTACCATATTGAGTTGACCACTACCACTAATCTGTCAATACCCAAATCGCCGTTAGGGTTTCAAATGTTTCCAGTTGATAGTATTCAGGTTAAATGTACAGATACCTATCTAATATATGTCTAAAGGAATTTAGGTAAAAATATGGCTAACAAATTTTTTTTAAAACAAGTATGATGAAAAGGTTAAAAAATTAATAATATTATTATTATGTAAATATAAATTTACAATTACTATATTTTACCATTAGGTACCTATACATATTTAAAAAAGCTGACATAGGATAATACAGGTGCAGCTACTGTTATAGGTAATTTAATATATACCTATAAGCAACCTAAATCCAATGTTAACGAAAAAAACGATTCTGAGCGGAGTTCAGTTGATAGTGATGTTTTATCAACAATATATCAAAAATGACCTGCCTAAAGTATCTTTCCAGGCAGATTTTTCTTTCAGGAAAAGTACTATCATTGAAAATCGGAGCAAAATTGCTGGTAGAAAATTTTCCACAGAAAAAAAGAAGGCTGTGATATTTTTAATCAATATCTACATTTCGTACATTTTTTGAGAAAACTCCTGGGAAAATCAAAAAATTACCTCTTTCAAGTACCTCCCTAGTCCAATTTTCTTTTACAAAAGTTGTTAATATTAAAAATCTGACCAAAATTTCTAATAGAAAAGTCGCCCCAAATAAAAAAGAATAAACATCTTTGTAAAATCATAAGCTTCCTTGCTCCACTCAAAATCTAAAACTTATATAATTTAGAAAAGTTCCAGGAATATATACTATAACTACTCTATATTCTAATGCAAACCAATTTGATTAGTATTGAAGTAGGTACTTACTGGTTAAGTGCCCTGCTACTATTGTATCTTTAATCTGCATAATGGCTATTCCATTGAACCATGCTTACTATAATATAAGTCATTGGGCTGTTACCTTTAAAATAAAAAAAATATTTTCTATCTAGCCACAAATTCACTATGAATATTTTATATTATACTACTTTATTATAATCTTTTAGATGTTATTCATTTTAAAATTCAACACCTTAAGTGTTAATAAATAAGTAATAACTTAAAGGTGCTTAAATATAAATAAAATATAGACACCCATCAGTGTTCTTTATTTGTTTTCAAGTACCTCCTTATTATGTAAAATAAATACACCTTGGATATTAAATATTAAATTTTTTATTCTGACTTCTAGGATACCAGTTGTTTGACACCCCACCCAATTATTATAAGTAATAAAACATTTTATTTTTTTTTTTTTTTGCAAAAAAATATTTCTTATTTGTTTGGGCATCAAATGTAAACACATAATTTATAGAGGAAAAAAAACATGTATATTTACTAAATTTATATTTTTAAATTGATTACATAAATTGATCAATGAGATTAATAAATACAATAAGTAAAGAATATAATATTTGATCATAATAAAATTGATAGTTTAATAATGTAATAATATATTGAAAAAATATATGAATATTAATGTTTAATAAAATTATTATACTATACAAAACATAATAATTAAAGAACTATCTAGATTATGAGAATTAAAAATTACTTAAAATAATGTATTTAAATAAAAAAAATATAAAATATTCTAACAAAACACTATAAATGAAATTTGATCTTAATTTTAAAAAAAAAGAAAATATAAGAAAATAAAAATAAAATAAAACTCTTGTTCAACCTACTTTAAATTTTGTTATATTTCTTAATTTGGCACTTATTTAAAACAAATTACAGTAGTGAAAGCCATAAAAAAAAAAATTAAATATTGTGTTCATTAAATGATTAAAAATATACATAATAATATATCAAACTAAAATGATAAAAATAGTTACATTGTTTCTATGGTGAATAACTCTGAATTTATGTTTTTACTTAAATCATAAGTAAAAACACTAGGTCCTATGTATCCTGCATAGTTCTTTTTGCCTTTGAAGTAAATTCCTACACCAGAAAGTGGAACTCCTGGATATGGTGCCACTATCTGATTGTCAATAAAAGGTAATGTAGTTTGAGCAACATCATGGTCAATAGAAGAATGTGTAAAAAAGAGATATTTGTTGGAAGACATGTCCATCTCAGACAAATTTGGTGATTTAGTTGGCAAATCTGAATTACTAATATCAATTTCAATCCTATAAATATTATATAAAATGGTTGTAAATAAATGAGTAAGATTATAGAAACTATATAGGTTTACAAACCTTGGTGGGTTAGAAAATTCGGTATTATCATTTCCAATCCAATTACTTTTTGTTGCAGGATCAATCAATTTACCAGTCATGAAGTCAAAAGGAGTTACACGAATTTCAATATTTAAATGGGATCCAATCATTCTAAACTTTACACCTAAGTTTAAAATATTTAATTTCAATATAGAAAAAATAAACATAAGATCAGAAAAATAAATCTTTAACCTGTAACAACTGTATCATTTGGTGCATGCACATCATCAAGGTCCAAAGCACGAGCAGTATAAGTTAATGTGTGAAAATCAACACCCTCTTTTAATGTTCTATTTTTGAATGAAAATTCAGGACCAGGTACTTCAACCCATTGTCTGGAAGATTCAATAATTAGACCTCGAGGACCAAGATCACCTTCTTGTACTTGTAAATGGAACATTTGTTTGACTTTTGTAAACCGGATACCAGTTACAACTCTAATCAGACATAAAAATTAAATTACAAAATTAATAAAATTGAGCAATTTGTTAATAAAATGTTACTTGTTTTTATCAATGTCAGATAAAGATGGCTTTAAACTAAAATGACGATCAGAAGATGATTCTTTAGAATCACATAAACAGAAACAATATGAACAATGCCATAAAAGATAAACCCACCAACTATCAACATTACTCATTGTTCCTTTGCAATTTGATGAGTCTCCTAAAACTTTTCCATTCTCATATGATATATAATCATATCGTCTGTTGCTTCCAAATGGCTAAAACAAAATTTAAGTCAATTAATGTGAACTTTTTTAAAATTGTTTTTGTTTATTTACGCACAGATTGACAAATCCGCATGTCAGAATCAAAAAACTGACAATTTAAGATACGTCCAGGACAAACTTGTTGTTTGGCACAAAATTGGTCACGATTACATGATTTATGTTCTCCAACTTCATAGTAAGCACAATTTTTCATACAACTACCTTCATAGTTCATATCAGCTTCATTTTCTATATAGCCCTACCATTAAAAAATTAGTAAAATTTTACTTTAAGATCTTATTTTCCTAAATGGTTTGGATAGTTATAAAATTAACCTTACCTGCAATAACTGAGTAACTTCTAAATACGTTTTGCCTTTAATATGTTTTTCGGGATCACATTTCCAATACATGTTACTTGCCGTAACTATAACATTTTGTGCTGCTAAAAGTTGTTCAGTTATTTTTTTTTTGAATATTTCAGTTTGCTTAATTCTTTCATATGTGAAATTCCCTAATAGTAAAGAAAGAAAATAACTATACTTATAATTATGATTTAGATACTTTTTAAAACTGTTAATAATGTTCATAACTTAATCAACTTAACCATTATAAATACTGAAGTATTTTATGAACAACCATAATAAATATAATATAAGTACCTTTTCCATAATTTTGTAATAACATCCATGAAAACTGTATGACAGAATAACCTTTTAACTGAGTAAGATGTAATGTTGTGTACAAATTATAAACTAGTTGTTGTAATGACTGTTTTTGATCACAAAGCATATCTGAATGATTCTAAAACACAAAATTCAAAATGTGAACATTTTTTTTTAAAGGGAATATATATAAAGCATACAGTGTATCCCACTTTTTCTAGCGCTGTTAATATTAAATTTTTAAGATTTTTTTTTAATTGATTTTTCTTAGATGGGGACATCGATCAGGAAAAAATTTAATTTTTTTTCATACCCTAAATACCAAAAAAAACCCCTTTATTTATTTACATTAGAAAATTTTCAAAATTGCCATTTCTACAATGATGTTTATTTTTTTTTTAAACACTTTTTTACCAGGAAGCATACTCCAATTACCAAGTATAGCAGGTTTTCTGAAAGGAAATGTTCTCTTAGTGTTACTTTAAAGAGGTCAATTTTTTTGAAATTCTCATTTATATTCGGGACAATGAGGAAAACCTGGTTCTTTAGGTTAAAAGAGATTAAAAGATTAAAAATTAGATTGTCATTGGAAACTGTTTTTATTTCTTTTTTTGTTATTAAAATGTTATTTTTTCTAAAAAATCACTGTTGTCATGAAAACTCACATTGTTGTAATAATTTTACCATAATATGACATGTATCATTATGATATATTGTATTGTTGAGAAAGCAGCACTATCAACTAAACTCCGCTCAGAATCGTTTTTTCGTTAGTATTGGTTTATCGTTGCTTACAAATATGCATTCAATTCCCGTCTGTATACTACCTTCTTAACTTCTCACCTACAACAGTAGCTGCACCCACGCGCGTAGTAAGTCCGTCCTTTTTTTAATTTGTTTTTCTACCAGAAAATTCATGTGGTGTAGTCAAAGGTATACGCGGGTATAACAACTACCTAATTTTTTTGTTGATGCGTATACCTATTGTATAATCTGTAATATGCAAGTATACCCATAGGTACGTATATCAATTGCATATCAGTGTATCACTATTTTTTACGATTTTTTTCAATAAGACATTTGCACAAGGTCAAATATTTAAGTGGCAGGAACATCTCTCTGAGGGACATCCAGGACCTGCTTTGTGACATAATCGATTTGCCATCCCGGAAAGACAACAGCAGTTAATCTCCGCCTTCCAACGCGGCACACAATGTTTCTACCATATTGTGGAGGACATTCTTCGCCGCAATGAAGAGGACGAAAGGACGGCTGTGGTGGAGAACAGCACGATTCAAAAGGCAATTTAAGACTAAGACACCAGGCAAGAGGGTACCCATCACCGACTAGCTAAACTGACCTCTCAAGGCCACGGTTGAAAACCTGGTCACGAACGACATGACGAGATTTAGACGACCCTGTCTTCTTGGCTATTTGGTCACCGCACTGTATTTCGAGTTGTAAGGAAGTACTACAAGCAGGATTGGGGAAAGATTTATGCCCGGGAAAATACAAAAGTTTCTGCCCACTTATTAATTTAACATTTACTGAATTTTAGTCAACATGTAATATAATTATTTTAACATAACTAAACATTTTTTTTTACACATTTGGAAAGATATTATTCATTGATGTACCTAGGCTGGGGAAGTTAATGATATTTTTAACTCAGTTAAATTAAATTAATATCTAAATAAAGTTAATGGTTAAATGTTAATTCGAAATCATCTATTAATTTAACTAAATTAAAAGTTAACCATAATTTAATATTGTACATAGTGATATATATATTTACAATGAATATTATAAATGATTATAATATTGTGTGCAATGAAAATAAGACGTCCAAGAATAATGGGGCCAAGTGCAGTCAATGTTATAAGTAATTTAATGTACATCTGTAAGCAACAATAAACCATCGCTAACGAAAAAACTATTCTGAGCAGAGTAAAGTCGATAGTGTTTCTACGCCAAAAATATAATATATGTCATATTATGGTAAAATATAATTACATATGCATTATGAGGTCATTATATATAGAGGTCATTTTTTGATTTTTCTAGTTGTTTTGCCTGTTAATTGTAAAAATGGAAAAATGGTAAAATAGGTATAATATTAAATAAATATCATTAAAGCAAATATATCATTATATATGATATATATTTTTTATGCATTTTATGTCATTATTTTAGCAACACTATCATTATTATCAACCATCTCCACTCAGAATGTTTTACCAAGTTCATTGTTTTTAATTTGTTTAAATTATGTTTTTTACCTTAAATATTACTTTAATCTTAAAATGATAATAGATGGATATGTATTTACTGACAAAGAAAGTAATTATTTTTATATCTAAAGAAGTTTTCATAATTAAGAAAAACCAAAAATACCAAAAATATGGCGCAACCATTTCATTACTTAGAATTTTTAATATTATACATTTCTACTAGAAATATTTGTCCAAATTTCAAGAATAGAATTTTCTGAAAAAAAGTGTCCAGTTTGGAAGTAGGAAAGTTGTTTGATTCTTAGTATAGATTTTCAGATAATTTTGAAATACTTAGAAAAATGTATTAAAGGACATTTGAGTTTTTTATGAAATTATTGTAGACCTGTAGTTTTCAAAAAAAAATTATATTGTCCTTATGTTAATGTGGCACAATTTTTAAAACATTTTAACTATTTTTATTTATTTGATATTTTATATTCTAAGTGGAGCGAAAAAGCTTATGATCTTACAAAGATGTTTATTATTATTTTTTTTTTTTATCTGTGCTTTCTACTAGAAGACTTGCTTGTATTTTCTGTGAGCACATTTTCTAAAATCGGTATTGGGAGATACTTTATTTAAGGCCATTTTTCGATTTTCTCATCAAATTTGAAAAACCGGAAAAACATAAACAAATTGGGAAAATCAGTACAACATTAAACAAATTTTATTGAAGAAAATATATAGAGCCTATTTAATTATTTTTCTATAAAATGACATATATATTGTTGACAAAGCATCACTATTGACTGAACTTCACTCAGAATCATTTTTTGTATGCAATGGTTTATCGTTGCTATACATTAAATTCCCGTCTATATCCTACCTTCCCAACTTCCCACCTACATCAGTGGCTGCACTGGGATCTATATTTTACTTCTTTTTTTTCGTATTTTTATCCAGTAGGTATCTGTTATTTAAATTATATGACTTAAGAGAAATGCTTGATAATTTACCTCAAGATACATTAAAGATTGCACTAAAAAAATTAATTAAATGCCTTAGTTTTTTTTTCATAAGTATTTAAAGATCATATTTAGACAAAAATCTTAAAAATGATTGCATTTTAAAATATGTATAATTGAACATCGCTCCAATTTGTTTTTCATTAGCAATAATTTATTTTTGCATACAGATTTAAATTAATTAACTTTATGTATCCTACCTTACTAACTACAACAATAGCTGCACATGTTTCCAGTATCAGATTTTTTTTTTTTATTATTTTTTTTTTTTATGAAAAACGTTTGTATACAAAAAACGTTATGTATATTAAAACCAATGCACAATATTAAGTTATTCGTTATTTGATAATGTTTTGTTTTTATGATTAGTCATTACTTTGAAATCTGAGACATGGTAATGATATTATATAAACGTTTTTTATTGTATATTATAATATTATGTTTACATAAATAAAATAAACTATTTTTTTATTCCTTTTTTTTATTTTAACTATTCCTTTCATTGTTATTAAATTATAAATATGCAATTTTATGTACACACAAGGTACAACCCACTTATTTAAGTACACATTGAATAATATAAAAGGAAGTCTGTGTCAATATAATCATATTTAGATATTTAATTTATACATTTTAGGAAAATAAAATAATTTCGACAAGTCTTGAATATCGTAACCTATCTTTTAGGAATCATGATTTGAAAGTTTAATACAAGGATACTGAAATAATATTTTATTGGTAATAATATCGAGCATAAAATTAAGTGTATGCATTTCAAAATTATCAAATATTCTAAGAAAACATAGTTAAATTTCCAGTTCAGAGCTTGAATTTGATGTGATGAATAATAATGGATATTTTGAACCATCATAGAACCATATATACATTATAAACAATTATGATAAAATTATATATAATATTGTAAATAATTCCCATTATAGTAATAAAGTTATTGATACTTAATACTTATTGACTTTAAATCAATCATTGTACATATTCTTATAGTAATTAAGTATAAAATTTACTATTATAATACAAATTGGATGTAACTATTAACCAATAAGAAATATATTTATTATTTAAGTAAACAAATTATTTCCTCTATGTGGAGCAACATGAAAAATGTTTGTAGAGCTGAACTATATTTTGATATTTACTTATATAAAAATTATAATCATTTTATAGCTGAAATTTTGTTATTTTGAATTTTTAAAATATGGGTAAGCTATATTTTCATACCGCTTTTAGGAGTAAAATATTAATTGTGATAAATTTATTATAGCCTATGGGTGGCAAAAACCTTAATCAAGCCTTGCTATGAATTTAAATTTCAAAAAGCTGTCCTAGGATAATGGGAACAAGTGCAGCCAATGTTGTAGGTGAGAAGTTAGAAAGGTAGGATATAGAGGGGAATTTAATGTATATCTGTAAGCAATGATAAACCATTGCTAATGAAAACAAATTCTGACAAGAGTTCAGTTGATAGTGATGCCTTTTCAACATATATATATCATATTATAGTAAAATATTTAAAGAAGCATTATATATTTTCTTTAATAATATTTGTTTAATATTGTACCAATTTCTTTAGGTTTTTCACATTTGCTGGGAAAACTTTTGAAAAATCAAAAAATAATCTCCCCTAAGTACCTTCCAGTCAGATTTTCTTTCAGAAAAATTGCTTATTATACAATATTATAAGTTGAAGCAAAATTCCTAGTAGAAAAGTTGTCCAAAGAAAAAAAAATCATAATATTTTACTAATACTAAATATATTTTCCCGTTTTTCTCACTTTTTCCCTTTTATTGGGAAAACTGTACTGAAAATCAAAAAAATGACTTCCTTAAAGTACCACCCCAAGAAAATTGCAAAAAAAGATCTACTATTCTACATTTTATACATTGGTGAGCTTTCTGGTATAAAAAGTATTCACATAAAAAAGTAATAATAAACATCTTTGTAAAACCATAAACTTCTTCGCTTCACTCAGAATCTAAAAATATTTTGCATATTTCAGTGTAAATGGAATATATTCATAAATAAATTTATTTTTACATTATTTCATCTAATATAAATATATAAATTAAAATAATCCTATATATTAAAAATCTATGGACATTTTAAAAGCATTTTTAACTGATCATTTATTTAATATCAATGAAATACATATTTATTTTGGATATAATGATACATGCAGTATACATAATTAGTGGAATTTGTACTAGATATGCCTCGATTTATATTACTAAAGAATCTAAAAAAAAATTCCCCCCCCCCTCTATATTAATGCATATTTTGATATTCAGAGAACTAATTGTTAATATAAAAGTATATTTTTAGAGAATACAAGCATTATAATATTTTGGATATTTTAAAAGAGTATAAATCTAGACTCTACTCATAAGTATTATAACAGTAGTTGTACAAAAAAATTTGTTGTAACAAACAACATTTATTTTTGAATTCATATAATTAGTAGCTAATAACTCAATTTTTTTTTTTTTTTTAACACGATTAACTCATAATGTTGTATAAATTGTATTTATTATAATTAACACCCCATCAATATCAATAAATTTAGTAATTATAATTAATGTGAAAATAATATGTTAAAATACCATTGAATATAAAACTATTGTCTATTAAATTCATATATATTATCTATTAATATAATAATTAAAATATTTTAATTAATGACTTGATAATTTAATTTGTTTAAATCAAAACTTTTAAATTCAATTACAATTATTTTAACTAATACATATTTATTTAATGACTGTTTAATCATAAAATGTAATAAATAACTTAAATGTATAATTATAATCAAATGTGTTTTACTAAAAGTATTTAGAACAACACAATATAGGTAGGGTAAAATGGAGTAATAGTAAATAAACAATGCAATATTTATAAAGAAAATTTAATATTATTTGCATTATATTTTAGTGCTTAAAATCAATTAATGATTCTTTAAAAAAAAAGGTTACACATAAAAAATGCTAAAAATGCATTTTTTAATTTTTAATTCAATATTTACAATTGCCTCATAAAAAAAATGGTTACAACTTTTTTAAGGGAACTGTAAATGAACAAAATGGAACATATTGAGTATTATGAAATTGTAACAGGGGCAATTGAATATTATAAAATTATAATTGGAGCAATATGAGATATAATAATTCATGATCATTTTATGAATCCCAAGTGTGAATTATACACACAATTACAATTGCCCCATTTTCGTGTTTAAAACCAATGCACAATATCAAAATATGTTTATACTTTTAAAAAGTTGTGATAATATGTAAAAAAAAAATTATAACATTATTTTACATAATTTTTCTTTGCACCAATTTACAACCAAGTACCCCACATCATCCTACTATTTGTAAATTATAATAATAATTATTATTAAACTCACTTACCATAGTATCTATGACTAGATTAAACACACCACCGTGTGTATAAAAGTCAAATTCTTCCCATTCCGGAACAATGAAAGAATGAATTTTTGCCATTTGTTTATGGGGCGCTCCAGATGAATATGACAACATCCCATCAGCAAATTTTTCTAGTGTATAAGATGTAAATGAAGGATTTATACTTTTATCAGTATCAATTCCTCCAAATTTATACTCTAAATAAAAAACAATATAAACACTTTCAACTAAAACCTAATTTTTTAGAAATAATATCTTCATATAAATACATCAACACTGGAATGGAAGCATCTAATCAATAAAAAAAAAAGGTTTTCAGTATTTAATAATTTAAATAATTAAGTGCAAGATAACTTTTACAATTAAATTTGTTAAAATAAAAAAAAACTACAAGCTAATTGAAGAAACTGATCTTATTGAATACTATTGATAAATTAATAATAGGAGAGTAAAAAATTTGTTTGGCATCAATTTCTAGAAAGATATGTATAGAAATATGTATACAAATGTAGGTACTACATTTTTGATAGATATATGATAATAAATCTTAGCAAACTCAGTAAAAATAAAATATTGAAAATTGTTGCATTTAGTACTACGGTACTATGGTTTAAATTTTAAAGCAGACTTATTAAGAAAAGAGTAATTCTTAATTTAAAAAAAGTAACCATTATATGAATGATGACCATTAAACATAATAAACGGAACTACAATAAATATATATTATGTATAAATACAAACCTTCCATGGTACTAAAATCGTTTTCAATTGATCTAACACACTCTAAAAGCTCATTCACTTGAATTCCGTTTAATGTAGCATCAGGTATGGATTGGAGTTTCTTGAGATTACTTAACATCATGGTCCGTATGTCGTCTGTTTCCGTTTGTGTCATTTTAACCAGATTAGTAATGCGCCCAAAGCTGGTCAAAATTCTCCGTTCTTTTGTCTTGGTGAACCATACGAGAGGCGCCTTTTCGTCGCCCGCGTGTTCTTCGACTTTATTCACGACATCCCACGTCTTCGACACGTATTCCAACACTTTAGTAGTCAAATCGAAAACATCCTCTACATCTTCTGAGATGACGCTGCTATTCGTCGTTGTAAATAGCGCCAAACACAACACCGCCAACATCAGAATATTATAATTGAAGAATTCCATACTCGAGTCCTATGTATGTATGCACAGATTTTTGTTTAATAATAACAGCAAACAATTACAATAAGAATAATATTATCCAATGCATGAATGCATTACATAGGGACGGGGGACGGCAACTGAGAACGCGCAAAAACGAAGTAACAGTAAGTCGTCATAATAGAATAATAATAATAATAATAATAATAATAAAATGTGTATTGTGTACGCAAGAATATTTTTACCTAGATCAGCAGTTAATACGGTGGGAAACACCGGTCGTACGTTTTTTTTTCCGTCGACGTTGTATAATACAATAAACCGTCTTTGTCAGCAGTCTGTAGTCTCTTTTTTTTATGGTGATGAATAAATTGATAGCTCAACTCGTTAGTGCGTTTGCATTAAAGTTCCTATTCGTATTACGGTCGGAGGGGAAATAAATTGTATATAAAGAAAACAATCAGCGGCACGCGACTGCTCTCCCACTTACTACAAGGTTCATATAAAATCTACCGAATTGTGACATTCGTACTCGCGTGCGTCGTTATTTTAGTAGTCTGTTAAATTTAGTAATAGAAAATAATAATATTCATATTACATTTTTATTACAGACATTCAGACGAATCAGATAAATAAAACGTATATTCAAGAGTCAAGGTTGATTTGAACGGTTATCAGTTTATCGCTTATCACAGATCGATAGCGCGATCCCATGACCCATGCACTCACTCCCTTCCAACCCTTCAACGATGGTCGATGACCAACATGGATCAATTATACTGTAATAAAGATAATAGTTTAATAGTATTTTTATTTTCAAAATGTGTGATCTATTTTCTATGGTGCGCACTATGCCACTATTAAGACGCTGAAACAATATAGATAGGTACTAGGGACGTACCTAGTATTTACAAAGGGATAGAATGATTTTTTAGACGACCATATAATGACATTATTATCACGAAAAGTATTACCTAACGTATTCTTTTTGGATAATACCTATTACACTGTTCATATATTTTGTTCACCCCTGTGAAACCTCTATGTGAATACCTACTTACCTAGGTACAAACTTTTTGACCTGGCCCGATCCTATTTAATAAAATATTTGGCCTGATCAACTTTAGTAATTGGCCCTAGTTCAATTTATATCAAATAACTAGCCCGGTTTAGCCCGTTCCGACTACTGTCAACTGCTTGGCCTGTACAGAGCTTTAGAACTTACCAACTACCTACATATTATGGTAACTTAGGATACTATCCATCATCTATGTCACTGAAAAACCCAGAATTTATCCTACTTTTGTTATATATACCTACCTACCTACCTACCTACCTATAATAAGAATAACTATTGGAAATTAATAAATATATTCATTAAGTAAAGTGGTCTAATTATTAGTAATTGCAATTATTTAAGAATTTGAGATAGTAATCAATATAATATATTATTACCATTGAAATTAATAATTTTATTAAGAATTTGGGGACTTTCATCTGTCGCATTAACAATATTTAAATGGTTACTTATTTAAAAATCTAACTAAAATAAAGTATGTTTAAGTTCTGCTCGTTAAAAAAAAAAAAAGAATTTTAATGATAATAATAAAAAGTTAAAATTGATTTACTCGAAAATACTTTTATGTAAATTAAAAAACGATTCTGGCTGCTTATCATAAGTAGGTACCTCATTTATTATTTTAAATGAAAAAAAATGGTCATGTGAGGGGAAATAAAAAATCGTATGTATTTAGTATGTACATATTACATACTCATAAGTCATAATGTATACAGTACTTGAATTAGGAGGTGTAGGTATTTCCTAATATGGTGTGCTTCTTTTTTATCGGTTTATGGCCAATTCCAGTGTATGCCATTGAGCAACTGCATATCCTAAACGCAGAAGTACAATTTAGGGAGGTGGCAGGGTGTAATTTGCCAACCTTATTTTGTCTATGTTTTATTGGTCTGCATACAATTATTTGCAAACGACATACCCCGTGGCGGCCATCGTAGAGTGGTGACCGGTATATTAAGTAACTTTAATATTATAATATTACTTTTACGATATATGTGACAGTCCCATATATTTTTTTAAATTTGTTAATTTAAGTATTTTAATAATACATTTATTTAAATGTAACGGATTCAAAAGTAGCCGATATGCTGTTTACTTGGGGACTAGAGTCCTACATTGATATATTCAAAGGTTCAAAAAATTCTTACTCATTAGGCAAGTACTCAATGTGCTAAATAATATTTCTTATTCAATATTTTTTATTCTTATTTCTTATTAATTATTAATATAATTTAATGTGTACAAATAATTAACTAATATATTTAACTATTTATATTATACTTATAATGTTAACTTCACAATTAATAAAACCAATTTAAATTGAAATAAATAATTCGTTTTGTTTTAATTATTAGCCTTTTGATTCTACCCCGTTTTCTGCCTATATAAACACAGTGTAAATTAATAATGGTTATTTATAAATAAAAGTAGGTATGTAGGTACTAGACAACTGTAAATACAAAACTACGTGTAGTTGGAATAAAATTAATTCTGGAACTGTAGCATAATACATTGTAAAGGTTATAAAATTAACGCGTATAAGACTTGATTACATACCAATTATAAAAGGTAGAAAAAAACTAGAAAAAAACCTAAAAAATCATAATACGTTTTCAAAATTGAAATCCATCAAACAAATTGAATATTATAATAATTACAATACAAACTTTTCATGCTACTAAAATCATATTCAATTGATCTGATACACTCTAAAAGTGCATTAACTTGAATTCCGTTCAACATGGCATTAATTGGAGTTTTTTGAGATTTCCCAGCATTAAAGTATGTATGTCGTCCGTTTTCCTTTGAATTTTTTCTATCAGATTCATAATTCGCCCAAAGTTTCTCAAAATTTTCTTTTTATTTGTATTGATGAACCACACGGGTGTTACGTTACCCGCATGTTTTTCAACTTTATTGACGACATTCCAAGTCTCAGATATGTATTTCCTTACTTTTACAGTTAAACTGAAAGTATCGGGTATAACATATTCCACATAGATTCCGTTACTTTGCGAAGTCGATAACACCAAATATGCCACCACGAATAACCAAATATTATATTTGATGTGTATCATTGTGATCGTCACAGTCAAAAGTGATCGAGGTTTATCGAATAATAATAACAGTGGAAAATTAAGATACAAATATTAACCAGTGCATCAATGTATATTGTAAATGGAACTGTGCAAGTGCAACAGCGAATAAACAGGATATCATTGAATAATAGTTTGTTTTTTTTTTTTATACGTCAGGTTAAAAATAACTTAAATGTTCACCTTCAGACAAGTTATAAATTAATTCATGTATGTGATTTTACATCACTTATTAGAATAATTGTATTATTTGTAAATACCTACCAACATTGACCCGCTTGTCACACTACCACCGACCACCAAGTTCCTGCCCACTTATTAATTTAACATTTACTGAATTTTAGTCAACATGTAATATAATTATTTTAACATAACTAAACATTTTTTTTTACACATTTGGAAAGATATTATTCATTGATGTACCCAGGCTGGGGAAGTTAATGATATTTTTAACTCAGTTAAATTAAATTAATATCTAAATAAAGTTAATGGTTAAATGTTAATTCAAAATCATCTATTAATTTAACTAAATTAAAAGTTAACCATAATTTAATATTGTACATAGTGATATATATTTATTTACAATGAATATTATAAATGATTATAATATTGTGTGTAATGAAAATAAGACGTCTAAGAATAATGGGGCCAAGTGCAGTCAATGTTATAAGTAATTTAATGTACATCTGTAAGCAACAATAAACCATCGCTAACGAAAAAACTATTCTGAGCAGAGTAAAGTCGATAGTGTTTCTACGCCAAAAATATAATATATGTCATATTATGGTAAAATATAATTGCTTATGCATTAAATATTTGTTTAATATTGTACCTATTTTCCCGTTTTCTCGTTTTTCCTCTGTTTTAGATTCTGAGTTTTTTTTTTATATTGTGTACAAAAATTCTACCAGAAATTTTGCTCCGATGTATACGCGCGTCTACATTTCTGAAAGGGAATGTTGTTCAGATGGTATTTTTAGGTGGTCATTTTTTGATTTTCCGTACAGTTTTCATAATATCTGGGAAAAACCAGGATAAAACGTAAGAAAAACGGGAAATTTACGAAAATAATGCTTTAATTATTTTTGAATTTTGTTATTTGTTGTAATTCAGTTAAAAATATTCGTAGACTTGAAATTTGGACAGAAATTTATACATGCCTTTTCTAGACGTGGTAAAATATTCAAATAATTTAAGTCATTTTTGAGCTATGTATAGACTGTAAGATTTGTAGATTTATTTTAATATAAATTACATCAGATCAAAATACAAATTAACACTAAATCTTATATGGAAACATTATACATTCTGACATAGAAGGTAGTTCGCGCTACAGCCACAGAACGAACACTCGTCAGCCAACTACAACGATAGTCGACCGGTTAGGTTGAACGATTACCCAAACGCGATAACAAAAACCGTTCGCGTCGTATATATATATATATCACAAATATCACATAGACATTTAAATTTTCTGAGTTTTATACGTTTTTTTATTCGATAGGTACTGTGTGGTTAAATTGTTAGTCTAAACAGATATGCGAGAAAATTTAACAGGTTCATTAAAAGTATTTTTCTGTGGTAAAAAAAAAAAAAACCGAGTTTAATGTATGTAGTTATTTATTTTAATATCAAAATTTGATGAAAATCTTTCGAGTAAAAAATTATGTGGAAGAAATGTAATTTTTAATTTTGTATTTATAACATAATACGTATATTACCGATTTAAGAACGATGGTGAAGTCAGAATTTAGGGGACTGACTAAGTTTCGAAATTATAGCTTTTAGAAGTTATTATGTGGATATTATATGTTATGTTAAATAACTCTATATTATATATATTTTGAAGTTTATTTGTCATGAACTAATCGTTATACATGCTTATAATCATTTTAGGGGTTCCGAATTCAAATCCGGGTTCCGAATTTTTGATTCCCCATCTCAAAAACTGAAATGACGCAACTTATTAAGAACAGCTAATAGGTACCGAATTGTTTTCTAACTTTTAGCTGAAGATTATCCAGTATGGGTATTAAAGTTTGGTATTAAAGGTGTATTTCTGTATTAAAATTATAATCTTTATGTATATAATACTTGCAAGTGTATCTTTTGTCCATGAGTATGTTACTAAACTTGTGTTCGTAATTGTCAGAACAAGGGTTTAGGAATTTTTTTGGAAAATTCAGCAGAAAAGTTGAAAAGATTGAAACAAAACATATAATCCGAAGCGATGAGCATATTATTTCAATTTCATGCTCATATTCAGTCAATTAATACGATTAATATTTAAATTATCTTTAAAATGCATGGACATTTCATCTCACTAGACTTTGTACACCTTGACTGAACTATATTCTTACATTTTTTTACTAGTATAAGTATACTGGTATGGGTACATTGCATAAATGATAAATATTATTCATACATACATAATAACTTCTATTACCTACATACAAATATATTACGGCAACTGAAGAATGAAAAAAATATACTGATCAGAATACTCTGATGTAGATATAATTTTGTAATTTATTTATTTATACATTATATATTTATCTTCTTTATTGCTTGAAAAATCCTATACAGAATAATATGCTGTATGTATACTCTTTTTGGTAATCGGGCAGACCGGGTAGGCCAAGGCCTACCCATTTTTATTTTTCAAAATTTAACATAATTTTAAAATCAACAATTGTTGTATTAGTATTGCTTCTAATTCAAATATTTATATTATTTTATTTCTTCTACCTACTACCTAGGCAAATATTTCGAGTTATGCCTCTGGAATCTATACATTACTTATATTGGACATTTGGCTACAGGGTTTTTTTCATTTTTAAATAATAAATATATAATTGTATTCATATATTTAAGTCATAGTAACACGTATTATTAACAATAATACAGTACCTAAAATCCCGTTAAGACGCTCTCGAAGGGGGAATCGTAAATCTACGTATTATGCGAGATGGCGTAAGAGGCGGCATCCCACCAGATACGCTCTTCAAGTGGTTTAAACGGGATATGAGACAGATTAAACTAGAAAAATATTTCATAGTATTACGTGTTATTCTTATTATATAGGTACATAGTATCAAACAAAGTCACTACCTACATTTGTCTGTCTGTATATCCACTAACTACTCCTAAACCTAGCGACGGATTTGAGTTGATTTTCAGCATCAGTTTCACGTTAGGAAGGTTTTTAACTATTGAAATCTACTTCCGATTGATTACGGTCCCCTAAATTCGTTTTTTAATAACTTTAAGTCCAAAAATCTTAACTATTTTTGTTGATTTATGAATTGGGTTAAGTATTTAATTGGGAACATGGATGAAAAAAAAACTATTAATAATTATCTTTTTAATCAGTATAAAACAAAGTCGATTTTCTCGTTTGTACATCTGTACCTATTTCATTATTTTGAATAGATTTTTACTTTTAATTGTTTTCCTAATTTTACCATTTAATTATGCCACAAAGAAGCCGGTCTGATATATAGGTCGTAGTACCAACTAGAGATACAAGCCGAAAAAGAATGGGATATCAGACTATCTAATACAAAAGAAAGTAATAATTTGATAAAAAATACGAACATGTCTGTTGAACGTGAAGTTTGTCTTTGTTTTTAGTCTTGCTGGGAATCAATATACCTAACTCACAGAGATCCCGCGAATCCCCCGTTGAACGTGAAATTCATATCAGTTGTGATAAGGATAGACATAGATTACCCAACTAGAGATTCGTCTGAATCCGCGAGGGCTGTAAATTTGTGGTCTAAGTGAGTTCTGCAATGAATTACGATTCTGTCGTTTAGTTTAAATAAATTGTTTATTTAAAAATACGCCTATAACATTTCATAACTGCTTATATGCACTCCACGCCACTGTGTATATCTGTAAGCAACGATAAACAATTGCTAGCGAAAAAACGATTCTGAGGGAGGTTTAGTTAATTGTGATGCTTTGTCAATAATATACATGCCATAGTAAAATAATTAAATAGGCATTATATATTTTCTTAAATAATATTTGTTTAATATTATACCGAATTTCCCATGTTTTTACATATATTGGGAAACTATTGGAAAAATCGAAAAATTACCTTCGCAATCTGATTTCCTTTCAGAAAAAGTGCCATAATTTTATATCAGAGCGAAATTGCTGACACAAAAGTTATACGCAGAAAAAAAAGGCTATATGTTTTTACTAATACCTATAATTCATAAATTTTTCAGTTTTTTCCGACATTTTATTCCCGTTTTTCATAGATATTATTAAAACCATTTGAAAAAATCAAAAAAATACCTACCTAAAGTACCATGTAGATAAATTTTCTTTCAGAAAATAAGCTACACTTGATGCATGGAAGCAAGATTTCTGGTATACAAGTTTGCTCAACAAATCGAGGGGTAATTTGCGATTAATATAGTCTGAGGGAGTAATGGCTTGGGTCTCTAAATACATCAAAAATGGATTTGTTTATTCTTTGTTTAGGTAAAAGGGGGAAAAAAAGGGCAAAACATTATGTTCGAAACCTGGGTTTGAATTCACGACTCCTAGAATCACTAGAGGTACTTGTAAATATTAGATCACAAGTATTCTTTAAAAAGACAATATAGTGTTATTTAATATAATATATATCTGCATAATATCAAAACTTCAAAAAACTATAATTTCGAAACTTATTCAATCCACTTAATTATGACTTCACCATTGTTCTCAAATTGGCAATATACAAATGTTCGAAAAAAAAAAAATTGAAAAATTAGATTTATTCCACATAATTTTTTTAAAATTCCCGTATAAAAAAAAATATTACCTTTGTTAAACTCAATTTTTTTTTTTTACCACAAGTAATACTCTTAATGAACCTCCTATTAAATTTTGAGCATTTCTGTCCAAGTTCAGCAATTTTACCATAAAGTACTTACTGAATAAATATGTATAAAACTCTCAAAATTATAGTTTTTTATAAAAACCCCTTAAATGAGTCAAATATTTTATTTAAAATTTTACCTTGTTTACAAAATACTAATATACGTTTTTTGTACAAATTTCAAATCTCTACAAATATTTTTTACTGAATTACAACAAATAACAAAATTGAAAAATAATAGAAGCATTATTTTTATAAATTTCCTGTTTTTTTTACATTCTACCTTGGTTTTTCATAGATATTAAGAAAACTATATGCAAAATCAAAAATTAACCTCCCAAAAGTACCATTTGGACAACATTCCATCCATTTCAGAACCGGTGCTGTAGGTATAAATCTGAGCAAGATTTATGATCAAATTTTTGTATACAGTAAAAAAAAAAAAAAAACATCTTAATAAAACCAATAAATTCTTTACTACTCAGAAACTAAAAAATATTATTATTATAATATATTCTTATTAATTATTTAATCAATTAATACAAAAATATAATTTCCATAGGTTTTACCTTTGAAAAGTAATTGTATAAAAATCTTATTTATATGTGTGGTTTCAAATAATGGTATAGAAGATAACGGAGTATCCAAAGACAAATTTGTATCCATATGTGAAGCTGTACCAAACTTATCGAATTTCAACAGCCAAGATTTGTTAAATGTCACCATCAATCAGAAAAGCAGCAATGTTGAACCAGCCTGTCTTTGTGTTTCAAATAAAATGTTAAATATTCCATCAGTAAATACCACCAAATAACATGTAACAACAATTAATAATTAAAAACTAACAAATATTTGAAATATTTTATACTCAGACCATACCTAATTAGTAATTACTTATATTTATTTATAATTTGAGCTTTAAAACAATGGTACCTATGAATGTAAAATTAAAAATATTTCATATATCTAAGTATTTTAAATATTAATAAATTATACATAATTTTTATATAGAATAGCAATAAATAAATAATAAGAATATATAGTTTAATTTTAAACAGTTTTTTTTTAATATAATATAAAAACTCTGTTTTTATTATTTGTGACTTGAATAGGCATTTAATGAAATGTCTAATTTGACTATATGTCTACAATATACATATATATATATATAACAAAAATTAGTAAATAATTTGAGAACATTTGATATAATTCATTATTCAATTAAATATTTGTTTTTGTTTACCATTATATTATGTCTAGTGACACATATAATTACATCATAAATTAAAATTAAATATATATATTAGAGACCAATTTAATAAATATTGGTTAAAATAAATAAATTATTATATCTATATAACAATATTTTTAGTATATTACACTCTTATAAGTGATACATCACTCATTGTTAATAAAAATAGTTTTAATTATTACAAAAGTTGGTATAAATTTTCCATATTATGTCTTTCATTTTATAAATATATATGTTTTAATATATAAGCCCAATGGTGTAGAGAGCTAATCAGATAGGAGACATAAATGGGTAACATTATATTTTTAAAATTATGGTATACTTAACCAAACAAAACACATTAATAGGCTTCTGATTCATTAGAGAACAAATCTCTAATACTGACTGCATAAGCCCAAATAGATTTGAGTTGGTCAACTAGTTTGTAAAGTATTAAATCTTGAAATAACATACATAGTTATTACAAGAATGTATGGAAGAAAATATATAGAATGACAATATTTAAGTATAACATTGATATGTAGAAGCTGGAACATACAACCCCAAAATGAAAATTGGTTCATCTTCATGATGTATAAAAGGAATGTCCACAGAATTCGTTTCTATAATAATAAATGTAATTACAATATATTGAGTCATATTAACTATATTCTATATTTTAATTTAATCAAATTAGTTAAACTTACTCCTGCAGAATCTGCATAATTCCGAAATTGTTTATCATAAATATCTTCAACAAATAAATAAAAGGGAACTGAACACAAACTTATAAAATATCCTGGATATAAACCATGCCATATTGCAGAAATGCTAAATGCCGCCAATGTTCTTAAATAAATAAAAGTTATAACTCACAAAAATCATAATTATACTTATAATTTATTTTAGATTTTGGTACCTACCTAAGTTTTTTAATAGGAAATCTTTTATAAACATATTCTGCAATCCAAAATTGTATAGTCATATTCCAAATTCTAGTAGCACCACGAACTGTTGAGATAGTTTCAACTTTTATTATGTCAATACTTATTATACAATCAAAGTTGTACAATTCTTCTTTTGAAAGGTGTCTATTTATGTTTAATGTAAATGTGTTTGTTTCAATAAAAAGCTTTTAAAAAAATGATTTGAAAAGGAATATACTTTGTTTCCAAAAGTTCATAATGTTTAGTTGGTCCACATCCTGATTGTGGTTCACACTTTGAAGGATAGGCACCCATTCCAGAAGCTATACAAATAATCTCAGAAAAAATAAAGCCCAAGTATAGTCTGGTCCGAAATATAAAAAATGATGTGTACATATACCAGATCCTGTATGACAATGAAGTGTTGGAATAAAATAATTCATTATTGAATTCCTAAAATATATATTCAAAACAATAAAATAAAAACAATTACATTTATTAGAACAAGAGTTTATTTAAATTAAGCAGCGGTTAAAATGTGGACTATAGCACCTAAGGGGTTTGTGACACTCATGCCTCAGCAGTCTGTGACACTATCAGTATTTCTGACCATGAACTCATAACATATGTGTACAATAATGCTAGAGTAGAATATAAATTTAAAGTATATTATTATTTTATACTCCAGTTATTGCAACTTTTTTTTTCATGTATTAATAGTCTAAAATACTCAATAACTCATATTTAAAGCTCAGAAAGTTTTAATTCCATTTCCACTGTTTATTTAAATTAAAAAGCATTCTACCTCTTGTTAATATTAAAAATAAGTTACTAAATTGTATAACAAATGTAGGGTATGAACACTAGTTGATGGGCATATCGGGATTTAATATTACAATATTCAGATTTCATGACTTTCCTTAATATGAGCCATTATTAAAGCAACACCATCTTTTGCATTAAAAAAATTAAATTAAATGAACTTAAGGTAAGTAAAAAGTTAATAAAAAAAAAAACAAAATTTTTAAGGGTCTAATTTTTACTTTGCTTTGGTAATAAATCCATTTTATTCAAAATGAAAGAAGATTTAATTGTAGAAAAGTAGCTTAACTAAATCAGTACATAAAGCAATTTAATTATTTAGTTTCTCAAAAATTCTAAAAACATTCATATACTTTTATAATATTCTATAGTTTGGAAAATATTCCAACAAAGGTTAAAGAATTAAGGTAATTAGAAGTAAACAGTCTTAATAAAATAACATTGGATAGAGAGAAGTGTAAATAAGTTTGTTTTGCAGTTATGGGTCTTATCAGCCTTAAAAGTAAAAAGAGAACATTAGCATATTTAACAAATGAAATTTATAAAACACAAAACACTAAAATAATTAAATACTCACACTTAATGGAAACATCCATGATGATACCAAATAAAAAACTATTAAGGCTAAAATCATACGAATTTTTTTAATTAGTAAATCCATATAAGCTGCTTTTTTCCAATAGTGATTATTAAATAAGTCTGAATATGTTTTATACTTAAAATATGGTCCTGTAACATCAAATATTTTGTATCATTTAAATAGTTAAAACTTTGTATTTATTAAATACAATTTTTTAACAAATATATTGTCATTGCTATGTCAAAAGTGACTGTGCTCAAAAAGTGACAAGTGCAGAACTATGTTTAAATGTCATATTTCCTCACTACATATAGATTGTAACAGGTCATCTTTACATGCAATTAAATTGTAAAAATGTTAAATAGGCCTGTTACTCTATATGTGACAAAAAAATGTCAAAACCATATCATAAATAGTTTAAAAACCACTTAACTCATAATTTTTGATTAAAATCAAAATTGAATACAATTTAAATTAAGGTTTAACAATTTAAATGTGGTTCCAAAACCTAGTAGTTTATACTTTGTGAATTTTACATTCAAATTGCAGGTCAAAAATAAAGTGCAATGTTGAGCATCAATCGAATTGCGTATGCATATTTTTCGAGACAGGTTTGAATTACGTGCCACAGTATTTAGACAATGACTGGTTTTCTCTAACTAGTTAAATATAGATAGTCAATTTGATACACATGTAAAATGTGTTTTCTCAAAGAAATGACTATTAGATATGATTATATTTTGAAAAGTATACTGTATACAGTTCAATGATATCAGTATGTAATTCTATATAAAATGTATAATATTTGACAATCAACAGACATCAGATGGACATTCTGGCATCCAGATCAATAGTATGAAATGGAAATGAATGTAATGTATAGTAAAAAAAAATAAAAAATAATTCATAATTAATGACTCAAAATTTAATTTTAATAAGTTTTTAAACAATAATATTCAAAGATGGGCTTGCACAAAATATGTGTGTAAATCTTATTTTAAATTAAATGAAAATAGTTTAAAATATTCTCTATGGATGTTTAAAGATAATTCCAATCTTGATCAACTTTATAAGCTTTGTCACGAAAAATGTGTGCACGCAACTAAATCGCCATAAAAAAAAATCACGTACACAACTTGATCTAGATTATGAATTTACGCAATTCAGAAACATCGATAATTATATTTTTATATACATAATACCTGTTAGAATGCCTATATAACAAAAGGCATAATGAAATACTTCTAAAATATTTGGTTGACAAATAGTTTTATAATTTTTTTCCGCATCATGTTTTGTTTCATATGTTTTCAATTTTATAAGATAACTGTCATGAACTTCAAATGAAAGGCCGATTAGCTATATTAATGTTACATTAATTAATGTGTAATTAGATATCCAATAATACAAATATTTAATATCTAATTACCTTTAGAGTTAGTATCATTTGGATCAAATTGGTATGACCAGAAGTATGTAGTATTTCAAAATATGTAGTTAGCCGAAAGAATATTAAATATCCAAATGTAAATAAGAAACACAATTTATGACAACGCCTGAAAAATCAACATTTAATAGGTGCATAGGTAAAATAAAAAAAAAAAAATACATAATTTATTATAATCATAAATTAGAGATTAACTGATATATTATAATATTGTGAGTATAAGCAATCAGTTCAAATCCTTTGACAACATATTTCTACATAGGTACATATACTCTCTATTATAATTTTTAAATATACATCTTTCAATCAAAATACCGAACTAAAGAAATTTTAGGATATATAATTATTATTAATAAAATTATGAAAATAGTTTTTTTAGATTTGTAGATTGTTTGATGAATAAAAAGAAAAAAAGTAAATCAATGTGTACCTTTTATCCACTTGCATGAGAATGGCACTGACTAACGTGCAAATTATCGGATGAATTATATACAAGCCAGACACTGATAATATGATAACCATTCCATAAATGGTCGACATCCATTGTTTAAGATTTTTATGTTTAACTTTTCTGAATAAAAAGCTAAATATAAATGACAAAATCAAAAAGCTAACATACACAGTGTCATCAGAAAACATATTATTAGTCGTTCAAATCCACTGCACATTATAAAACAACATCATCTTTTAACCTAAGAACACAATAATATAAATAATCATTTGAGAAAAAAAAAATGTTTTTAAAAATGTTACTTGTGCAATAAGTACAAAGTAGAACATAATTTATCTAATGTTTATCTACATAAATAAAATCTAGACTAGGTACCTACCAATATGATACTTATCTATAAAAAGTACAAAATAAAAATTATTTTGTATAAAAAAAAAATTTAATAAAATAATGTTAAATTATTGAGAATAATACTCAATGATGATGATTCTTGGTGAACTATAAAAGTTTGATAACCTATTTTGCATGATGAGTGAATAAAATCTAATCTCACCAAGTATATAGACAAATATACACAAAAGCAATCTTACCGAAATAAATTTCAATACGAAAAACGTAACAGCCCACTTTAAAAAAGACGTTAATCGATTGAAACCACAATATAATTTATTGAGTAATGCAATTAGGAGACAAGAAATATTAGTGTTATACGACAAAAAAAATATAGTAATATTGTCACGTAATTTATAAATCAACGTTATCGCTATAATCAATTTATAAACCACGGTTACAGATATTTTATCTATAACCACGTTATAAAATAATGTTATAATTACCATAATCATGAGGTTATCAGAATAACAACGTTCTATAGACACATAATTATTATATATTACTCGTATTGTATTCCTCGATTCATCTGTAATGACCTTGGCGATGTCATCACTGATGGCATCATGCAATAGTTATGGATCATTATTATCGTTTAAAGCAGTGTTATCATGAAAGCTAAATCTATAATAATAACAATTAAATATTATAACTGATATCGGCTATCGCTATAAAAAAAAAATGAGATAACAAACACATCTAGTCCATCATATCTCATCACAGATATCTACACTATATTAATTAATTTAAAACACCCCAACTCAGAATTTTTTACCGCTAAGAAAAGTAAATAAAAAAAAAAATTATCAAGTATTAAACTATGTATTTTTTATATTTTTCCCGACAAATGATAACAAGCATGTTAAGTACTTCGTTTATTATAGTAAATATTTCAGAATATTGAAAACAATAATTGTGTAATTATTTTCAAACTAGATTTTCATCAAAAACAAATTCGAAAATAACAAAAACCGTTTTTAAAAATATTTTATCATTTGCATGTTTTTTTTTCAATTTTCCCTGTATTGGATATTAATAATAATAATATATTATTAAAAAAAATAATAGTAAATCAAAAAATGACCGCTTTGCTGCATATATACCACAAGGTTATATTTTATAAAAACAAAATAAAAACAATTCAGAGCATATAGAACATAGATATAAATTTAATTTCTTTCAAACACAATTCTTTCAGATTCTAAGCGAAGCCAATAATGTATTGGTTTTACATTTTTATCTGGGTGGTACTTTATAGAGGTCATTTTTTGCTTTTCCAAGAGGTTTTCATATAAAATGGGGAAAAATGTAGGAAAAACAGGAAAACGTCCTTAATGAAATAGATTTAAATAAATTTTATTTTTCGTTGTTTTTTGATTTTCCAAGCAGTTTTCATAATAATTAGGACAAAAAATGAAAATTTACGGCATTACATTTACATTTATCATAATTTAAAATTTTTAGTCTTCATGTTTTCTATTAGATATATTGCTCAAATAAAATAACGACATAAGATCATTGTTGTTCCAATTTTAATCTAGTTGGTGATTAAGGAAGCCGTTTTATAAATTTCTATGTAATTTTTTTAAAAATTGAGCAAAACTAAAAAAAACTTAGAAAAAATGGAAAAATAAATTTTAGGGACTTGAAATTTGGACAGAATATTGTTATTTGCCTTCTAAGAGTGATAAAATTGTCAAAACAATTTAGCCATTATTAAGTTATTATAGACTTTTAACTTTGTAAGTTTTTTACGTAATTTTTATTTGATATATACATTTCAGATAAAACTGAATCAAATAGACCAAACAGATATACTTGAAAATTTATCTGGAGCAGGCGCGTACTGGCCCACCGGGATACCGGGAAAATCCCGGTAGGCCCTCTAAAATATTATAGGAGCTGGGCCCCCTATTAATTAAGTACTAGTTTAAGTTTTATTTAGTAATTTTGTTGTTTTTAGCAATTTTAATTGAATAATTTTGAAAAGAGAAAATAACATAAAATGACAAATAACGATTTCGTTAGTAAGTTACTAATAATGCAATTTATTTTTGCTATACTAACTTTCAGATCATTCATTACTAATGCATATGTCCGTATCAAAAATATTTTTTTCTTTAGAATAACTCTTATGATTTATGAAAATAAACAGACAAAACAATATGTTTATGTAATTCACTATACAGTAAACACATAGATAATATTGTCAATATTGTCGATGAAACTGATTTTAACTATTTTATAAAGCCACGTGGAAAACAAAATATTCAAAGATTTTTTTCATTTCATCCACAGCATCCAGAAAAAAAAAATGATGGTACCCAATTACCGAATGGTATCACGAAGATTGGGGGGTAACATAGGTCATGAAGAAACTATTCACACTCCTGAAGACAATTTTAAAATTAATACATTTTTTCCAACGATGGACGTCGTAGTTACAAGTATGGAACAAAGATTCGCCCACTGTAAAGAGCTTTACGGAGATNCATGTTCTTTTAGAACAGTTGAAGTCATTTGCACATTTTTGGCCAACAATTTCTAAAACAACTTTGAAAAATACTGATGATATTTATGGACCAGAATACGATTCAGAAGATTATTTTGAAGACGATAACTTTGTGTGTAAAAAAGAAGAAAATTGTATGAAATGTTTATTGTGTGTGGCAAATATAATACATAAATACAATATGTATTCGTTAGAATACAAGGAGCTTTTTAAAGTATATTTATTTTTATTAACCATTCCATTAACACAAGTAACGTGCGAACGCTCATTTTCAAAATTAAAAATAATCAAAACTCGATTAAGAAGCTGTATAAACCAAGAAAACTTAGAAGCTCTGTTTTCAATGAATTGTGAAAGAGAATTATTATTAGACATATCGCCAGACGCAGTTATTGATTTCATGTGTGAAAAAAGCAGTGAAATATTAAGGTTATTAAAAGTATGATTTTTCTAATTTTATCCATTGTTTTTAAAAAGTATAAGTTAAGTTAAAATATGAATTAAATTATTTCTTAATAGTTTAACAACAAACTCATTTTATGTTTTAATTGTATTAATTCAAGAAATAAAAACTGTTTTTTTCTAATTATTATGTTTTTCTTTATTTTTACTTTGATCTGTAAAAAAAATGAATATAAAATATTACGGGCCCCACTTAAACATTTCCCTGTACAAAAAAAGGAGCCAGTACGCGCCTGATCTGGAAATTCATTATATGATGTACTTGGTGGTCAAAAAATAGGATAATGGGGACGGGTGCAGCCACTGTTATAGGTAATTTAATGTATACCAGTAAACAACGATAAACCATTGCTTACAAAAAAACGATTCTGAGCGGAGAATAGTTCATAGTAATACTTTTTCAATAATATATATGCCATATTATAGTAAAATAATTAGTATGCTTTATATATTTTCTTTAATGTTGTACCGATTTTTCCAATTTTCCAATGTTTTTCCCAGTTTTTCACATTTGCTTGAGAAAATTCAAAAACAAGTTGTCAATAGTACCTCTCTAGTAAAATTTCCTTTTAGAAACATTGCTATCATTAAAAGTTGGAACAAAATTGCTAGTAGAAAAGTTGTTTACAGAAAAAAAGAAAACTGTAATATATGTTAACTAATACCTACATTTCTTATATTTTGCTGTTTTTTTTTTCAATTTTTCAAATTTGATGAAAAAATTCGTGTTTACATCGAAAAGTGACCTGTTTAAAGTACCTCTCCGCACCGATTTTCTTTCAGAGAAGTTGCTACACGTAAAAATTGGAGCATTTCTTCTGATAGAAAAGTTGTTAACAGATAAAAAAAAATAATAAACAACTTTATAAAGCCATTTTCCTCGTAACTTGACTGATGTAAATGTTTTTCGATTATTAGATTACCTACTCATATTTTTTTACTTTTAAACTAATGGAGGGGATACAACCTCTAACCTCTCTCCGCCACCTAGCACGCCACTAATAATAATTAACAATATTTATGATTAATTTCAACGTAAAGGTATTATTCATTTATATTCGCATACAAATAGGTTTATCAGTCGGATCAATCATACATTACACACCTTTTTAATAATGCTTAGGACCGCGTTTATGGACATTATAATATTATATAGCATTATAACATTATTTTAATAATATCAATCTCCAATATTCATATTGGTAGGTATCGGTAACTAGGTACAAATATAAAATAACGGTGTGTTACACCAGCCCGCTTGATATCGAAATTATGTAACCTTTAGTATGTCATTTTTATGGATTTGTATGACTAAACTCTCGGTTTTGCTCAATTATTCAAAAAAATAAAACAAAAATAAAAAAGACGTGTTAGGATAATGTAGACAGGTGCAGCCACTGTTGTAGGTGGGAAGTTGGGAAAGTAGAATATAATATATAAACGGGAATTTAACATATATCTATAAACAACGATAAACCATTGCTAACGAAAAAACGATTCTGAGCGTATTTCTGTTGATAGTGATGCTTTGTCAACAATATACATGTCATAATATAGTAAAATAATTGAATAGGCATTATATATTTTCTTTAATAATATTTGTTTAATTTTGTACCGATTTTCCCATGTTTTTCCATTTATTGGGAAAATCGAAAAATTACCTTCGTTAAGTACCTTCCCAGTCTGATTTCCTTTCAGAAAAAGTGCCATAATTTTAAATCAGAGCGAAATTGCTGGTACAAAAGTTGTACACAGAAAAAAAAAGGCCATAATATGTTTTTACTAATATTTACATTTGAAAAAATCAAAAAATTACCTCCCTAAAGTATGATGTGGATACATTTTCTTTCAGAAAATAAGCTACACTTGATACATGGGAGCAAGATTTCTGGTATACAAGTTTACTCAACAAATCGAGGGGTATTTTGCGATTAATATAGTCCGAGAGAGTGATGGTTTGGGTCTCTAAGTACATCCAAAATGAATTTGTTTATTCCTTGTTTAGGTATAATCATTAGATCACGACAAGTATTCTTTAAAAAGACAATATAGTGTTATTTAACATAACATATAATACTAGCATAATATCAGAACTTCAAAAAGGTATAATTTCGATACTTAGTCCGCTTAATTCTGATATCACAATCAACTTTATACATATTATGTTCTAAACACAAAATTGAAAATTAGATTTGTTCCGAATAATTTTTTACTCGAAAGATTTTCATCAAAATTTGATATTAAAATTCCTTTATAAAAAAAATACTACCTACATTTAACCCTATTTTTTTTTTTTATTAAAAGTAAAACTTTTAATGAACCTCCCGTAATCAAAAATTACAAAACAAATGCAATTTGAAATTATATCAATTCATGAACATGCTGATTCAAACACTTAGCGTTTACCAAATATGTTAATTTAACCGATTGTATTTTCTATAGGGATGACAGTTGGGTATACATAATGTTTATTCATATTAATACCGTTTTAATATTTGTTGATTCATGGCTGTGCTAATTAAAATGCATGATATTTAATAAAATGTTTTTCAAATTTATATCGAATCAGTCTGGCATTTTTAAAGCTTTTGTTATGTACCTAAAATGATAAAAAAAAAAATCCGAAATTTACAAATTCAATTTCTATGGAAACTAAGTACTTTGTTTAGTATTTAAGTAAATAAAATATCATCTATTTTGTTGTACATTAATATTGATATTTTTATTTATTTCTGTGTCTTTTTGAATACTATGAAACTTATTTTAATAATTTTATATTAAAGAACTATTATACAATACAACATACTACAATAGAATTATCATTTTGAGTATGAATATAGACTGGCTATACACTAAGTTTTATACTTGCGCAATAAAAAATATTACTTATTTCACAATCAGTAATAAAATGTTTTGATTTTGCACGTAAGAATTGTTTGAATACATAATTCGAGTTTTTAATTGTGTCTATAATATTATAGATTTACTTACCTATTTATATTAAATTTTAATTAATTTTTTTTACCTGTTGGCTTCAAATAGGTTATATAATATAATAAAATATTAATGATAAAATGAGACCGTACTTCATTAAATTACACCCATTCGCAGTAGTATTCTGTATGGTATTGGTAGTATGCATTATTTTTATGAAGTATTTTCCATTGTATCAATTGTACTACGTGCAACACGATTGTTTCGATAACGCGTCGGTGAGTTTTGAAACAGTATATTTTTGCCATTTGGCAATTTCCAAATATATGCCAATTACGCCGTTAAGAATTCATTATTTCAAATTTTTACAGATTATGATTTTTACCAAAAATAATATTCCAAGAAAGAACGGGAGAATTTACGCAAATAATACTTTTATTTAATTATTTTAAATTTTGTTTTAATTCAGTTAAAAATTATCGAGCACTTGGATTAATCGTACTTGTACGATTTGTTATTTCTACAGTAGAATTGAATGTTATTTTATATAAAATGTTACTACGATATGTTACTACTACGATGAAATGTTACTTACTCGTATAAATGTTATATAAAATTAAATTTGATTCTAAATTCTGAAATCTAAAGATTCACAATCCTCCATTTCTTGTTTTATATTAATATATTTAATCAGTATTCTGTGTGATGACCATGGACGTAGACACGGAGGGAGATATAGAGGATGGGTCCCCCATAAAGTTTTAAAAAGATATATTTCTCTTTGATGGTTCATTTAGAAATCAATAGTTTATAATGTTTTTACCGACGATAGACAAATTAATAATATTCTAGCTGTTATCAATTTTTATATAATCGTTTTATTTGACTTTTCAATTTAATTTAACTGATAGCTAACGTCCCTATCAGTTTGTCGGATTGATTTTAGATTCCGAGCGTAACGAGGGAGCTATTGGTTTTACAATGCTGTTTATTTTTTCTTCTTTGTTCTAGTCTACTCTAGTTAGGACTCGTTTTTGCCTAGTAAACTTGCTCCGATATTTACGTGTAGCATCTTTTCTGAAAGCTCAAGTTGTCTAAATTGTGCTTTAAACAGGTCGGTTTTCGATTTTAGATGCCATGTTTTAAATAAAAGCACTTAAGTGGGAAAAAACTTAGGAAAATGTATAATTTCACGATTTCATTATTTATTTATTTTATGTTTAGTGCAGGTTGTATGTTATCAGCGTGGTTTTATTATCAATAGATATATCAAAAATAATAAGATATAATAAATTAAAAATCAGTTAAATGTTCCAATATTAACTCTGAAATATTTAATTTGAGTCTAAATTGTTTTCCAATATGCGTTATCTATAAATAAAATTTAAACAATTTAAAAAACTTACTCATAAACTTAACTTAATCTTATCCCCTCTTCTCTACCAAGTACCATCTAAAATTTAATTTTTTTCAAATTCATAACCCCTCCCCTCTCCAAAAAAAAAAATCCTTGTTGCACCACTGTATCTATCTGTCATATGTTTTAAAATTAACTTCAATGCCACTGTTTAAATCACGGCATGTATAGGTATGTACGTTATTACTATACTTAACTCTATAATACTTAGTATGTTTGTGATACCCAATGGCGGCCACAAAGGGGAGCAAGGGAACAATTCCCCCTAGCTTTCCAGCAAATTAAAATAATTATATCCAAATTCAATATTTTAAAATCCCAAAATGTATTTTGGTATTAAGATGTACCCAGACGGTATGTATACTTCGTGATAATAGAATTTCATCAATTTATATTATCACAATATACAATGATTTAGATATGCCCTATATAATTTAAAGTTGGTACCATCCACTACAGCCGATCATTTGTGGATATTTTTTGTGGACAGCTGACTTGCGGTTATTTAATGTGTGAGAATCGTTTATTCGGATTATATATGTTAAGTTTACGTAGAAAATAAGTCGAAACTTAATTTTCAGAAAAAATTGTTGGTGAATTTAAGAAAAATAAAATAAAATTGCATTTTGTGTTCAATTAGTTACTATAAATGTGTTAAAGTGTTGAATGTAATATTATAATATCTTTAGCAATTTTGAAAAGTATACATAATATCTACATTAATAAAAAAGTTTGATTATTAATAAAAATTAAGGTTGTTGTACCTCTTGAATTTTCATCTCCGGGTGCCCTTGATGGTACCTAATTATTATGTAACGCGTTAAGTTACAAAGTTAATAGAAGAAAAAGTAAATTTAACTACCTAATTCATAAAAGTAGGTAGATTTTAGTAGGTTACTTCTCAGTTTTATCCTCAGTATAAATGTATAATATATATGTATCGTACGTTCTGATCGGCTTTTTGTTTACCGTTTAATCGGACATTTTTTTTTTCACTATTTAAGATAATGACAGAAAAAAGCCGTTTGTTCATTTGTAGGTTTTGTGTGGAAACGCCGAAAAAAATGTTACTGATACGTCACGGGCGTCCATTAAAATGCCAATAGTGTTTCTCGTTGTGAATTTCATGTATTTCTACGTGGTGTTGATAATGGTTATATGTCTTTGCGGTTTGTATGGGCGGGCCCGGCCGTCAAGTCCACCGGACGCGTTACCAAAAGTCCGATACCCAAACGACGATGACGACAACCATACACTGACCACTAACAGCCGCCAATCGACCGACGACGAAAAGTCGCTGTGTAACGATGATAATAATAATTATTGTTTCTCGTTCGATACTTTACCTGCACCAAAGTCAGACGATACCGACCCACCGTGTTTGTGGACGGGCGATTGGAACAAATATTGGAATAATAAAAACGACTATTAATATACACGCTATAATACCGATTGTGTTATAATATTAAAATATAATTTTTTTCCATTTGCACCTTTACGCTTTAATACCTATGAATCTTCTTATATTGTCCGAGTGGTGAATAATGAATCTTCACGAGTTGATCTATTAAAATTTCTGTATTTAACGGTCCAATGGTACAAGATTCGAAGCATAGCATCATGTGCTGAAATGAAAATTAGCTCGCATAAATTAATACCTCTTTCATTATAATCATTTTTTAAATGCTTTAGATCAGTTCATAAGTTTTAGAGGTCGCTGAACCCGAATGTTTGCATCAGTTTCATGATAAATCCCTAATTTAGAGAGGATAGGGGGCATAGTTTTAAATTAAAACCATTTTTTAAATATTTTATATCAATTGCGCGTGATGCCTGCTATTTTACTATACAGGCTGTCCCACGAAGATATACCCATTAAATATCTCAGATAATATTAATAGTAATAGTAATAGTAATCATTAATTTAAACCACGTACCAATATCCATTGCAGCTACATACTGTCCACCCAAACACAAAATCTCAATGCCGTCTTCAACTCTCTTAGCCAGTATTTCATCGTAGGCGAAGACCTGAATGCGAAAGTCAAACATGGGGTTGCCACTCAGCAAATCCGATAGGACAATCTCTACTTCAAGTCATTAAAGAAAAAAAAATATGGCATCCTCGCTTTTCCAAATCCAACCTACTGGCTGACATCACCATGAACACGACCCAACATTTTGGATATATTTGTTACAAAAATCCCTAATCACATAGATCATCTTATAAAAAATCTTTTAGACCCATGTTCGGACCACTTCCCAGTTTCTTTTTATCTCTGAATACTCACCCTGCTCTCCGGCCAGATAGAGCTAGTCTTACCAACGGCCCTATGGACTGGCACATATTTAGAGAAATTATAGATCAGAAAATAAAACTAAAACCCGACTAAAAACTCCAAACGATATTGAAAACGTTCAAAACCTTACTGAAAGCATCCAATCTGTAGCATGGAAATCATCTTTTGCACCGCAAAAACATCAAAATAATTCATCTTCAGTTTTCACCCACAGTCGTGAGCTAATCACACAAAAACGCCGCGCTATGGCTCGCTGGCAACGCACCAGACTTCCCTCCGACAAAAACACTTATAATAATCTCACTTCACTCCTTAAACGTCACCAATTTAGGAGTGACTCCTTCAATGAATGGATTTTGTCACTCACTACAAAAGACGGTTCTCTATGGAAAGCAACCCGAAAATGTCTTAAACAAAAGCCTTTACAAGGACCACTTAAAAATAACCATGTTAATTGGTGCAAATCCGAAAAAGAGTAAACAGAAACTTTTCGTTCTCATCTCTCGGAAGTCTTCCAACCTCACCAAAATATCGGAAATCACGCCTTCACAAAATATATTGAAAACTCACTTATTTCTCCTCTTTCACTATACCTTGCCCCAAAACCGTTTTCTCCAGGTGAGATACTACACCTTATAAAATCTTTTCCTCTCAAAAAATCACCAGGAATAGACTTAATCACTACAAAAGTGGCTAGACAATTATCTAAAAAACCCCTAATTCAACTAACCCACATTTTAGTCTATTCTCAGACTCTCTTACTTTCCTCTCCTATGGAATGTATCAGTCATAATATTAATTCCGAAACCAGGTAAACTTCCGGATATTCCTTCATCATATCTATCAGTCTCCTGCCGTTTTTTGCTAAACTTAACGAAAAATTAATTCTTAAACATGTATTTAAAATCATTAATGAAAAAAAAAAAAAAATAATACCTGATACTCAATTCGGATTTCCCAAGTTTATAATATACATTCTATGTTTATTATATTGATAATATTTGTATATACTTTGAAAAGGAATATGTTTTCACATGTGTTTCATTAGGAGAACACTCTAGAATATGTCAATATCATTTTAAAAATGAAGACATTTTAAATACATGGGTATCTGAACAAGGAATCAATAAATATATAGTAATTATTTATTAGATTATGATTTTGTGTAATAATTAAAGGATGCCCTAGAAACATGGCCACTTAGGAAAGCAGAAGAAACTAGACTAAAGTCTTTGAAAGGAGAAACTTACGGAAAATCTATGACCCATGCGTCGACATTCACACAAGATAATGCAATTAATGACATAATAAAGAACTTGAAGAACTGTTTCAAAGACCAAATATCGCAAAAGAAATTAAAAAAGGAAGTTAATATGGGCATGGCATGCGTGTTGTAGAGTAGAGTCTATAGTCAGAACAACCATTAAAGAGAACCCGGTCGGTAAGAAACTACTGGGAAGGCCACGATTACTTAGGAAAGACTGCGTGAAAGCGAAAACAGGAAGGATCCAATCAAAGGTACCATGGAAAATAGTGGTGGAAGATACTGATGGATGTAGAAAAATGTATTTGGTAATATAGTCTCAATGACCAAAATCCAAAAAAAAAAAAAACTATGATACGCAATATTAAAAATTAAAATACAGATCACTAGACTAAATAAATAACAAAAGTTTTATATTTTGTGTACCTATTTAATAAAATGATATTATATTATAATCTTATCATGGAGTTAATCGATAATAGACCAGGGGTGACCAAACTTTTTTTCGGCAGAGATCTACTAAAAATATAGTTCTCCTTTGAGGATCGACTTCCATAATAAAGTTTTTTGTTATTATTATTGAGTACCTATATTATCCGTAATTTTGTATATTAAGCTGTTTTAGTTTTTAACTTTTTTTTTCAAATTTAAACTGGACAATTTCATTCCATCAAAATTTTTGAGGTCTTACTTCTTTGTGGTCTAAAACTTACCAAAAAAAAATAATGTTTAAACTTGTTCATTACATATTTAGTTTTTCCATTCAAACAACATAGGAAAATAACAATATTCTTAATTAAATCACATTTAGTCATTAAGTTTAAATGTTACGAGGTTGTACATACATTTTTCTTAAAGATCACAAAAAAAATACATATGATTCACTTGGAATCTAGTGATATTTTACTGTCATATGAATAGCTCAATTGTAGAGATATAAATATTCTGAGATTTATGTTTTTTTTTTTATTTTTAACTCATTATAGTCGATGAAGCTGATTTATAACCAATAACCGATATCAAGGTCTTTTCATAACTCACAAAATTAATCTCGTTTGAATATTTTTTGGTCAAAAAGTGGTTGTTATACAATTTTATAATATGTATAAAAAAGTTATAAAAACTTTATATACTTCTACAAATAAGCTATTCTTATAACAGTAAGAAATTAAATGTTTGTTGATCTGAGCATTGTTGAAGTGTTGAAGCAATTTGTTGAAGCACTTCGTTGACCAATTGATCGTAACCTGGTAAAGAGTTGCGGACTGCTAATTGAAGGCTCTGCTCCAAATGGTTATTAGAGAGCGCAGCTTAGTATTCAGTAAATGCTACATTGACAAAAAAAAATTGGTGAATTGGCAGTTCACCACAGCGCGATCGCATTCGCCCAAAGGCAGATTTTTGTATATGTTTTAATTGTGATTTATACTTAATTTTTAGGTAAATTTTACAATTAGGTGTATCATATATTATGTTTATTTATTTATTGATATATATTATGTACAAAAAAGGAATTATAATTATCTTTTTATAAATTTTTAATTTTTCCTATTACTATGAAAACTGCTTGGAGAATCAAAAAATTACCTCCCTAAAGGATTATCCCAGGTAAGATTTTAAGTAGAAAAGCAGGTAGAATTTTTGAACAGTACATGAAAAAAAAAAAAAAAAACACTGTATAAGCAATGAATTCCTCCCTTCGCTCAGAATCTAAAAAGGTTGTAAAAACAAATTTCTTAAATATGATTAAAAATAAGTACGTTTCACAATACCCTAAATAAAACAAGACTTCTTATTTTAAATATTTTCACATATTTTTAAATATTTTACCAATAAGTGCATATTTGGTAAACATTGTGCGTATTCACACGTAGGTACCTATTAAATTTCACATGAAATATTGACATTAACCATTATTACTTATATTAAAAGCTGTTAAAAATTTTTTTCTGAATAAAAATGAAAACATATAGACTATAAACATGTTCTATAGTGGTAGAATCAAGTATGAAATATTCCCGATTATCCTTGGTCGACGTTGAACGCTCCTTCAGCCGCTATATATCAATTTTGAGACCTAACAACAATACTTACATTTAAATATCTTCAAAAGTACGTTGTTTCCAAGAGGATGGAGATGAATAAATAAAATAAAAACAATTTTACGTAAACCCAATTTAATCTAAATAATTTCTTAAAAATTCGTGTTCTATTTATTAATTATATTGCGCAACACAGAGGTGGCCAAAAGTCGCACAACAAATTTGCAACACAGTTTTTATAAAACTGTTGTGTTTTATGTTAAATATGTTGTTTTTTTATAAACCTTACTGTTGTTGTACGTAAACAAGATAACGAGACCAAAGTTGCAATATGACGTAACGGAAACGACGTTTATTATTACGACTGCGCCGTAACGCGCGTTCCATACAAGACGGTATGCGTTGCGCTACTTTTGGCCACCTCTGTATGTTCCGTATCCGTAGATTAGGAAACATAACAATTTGTACTTTATGTTTTATAATTTATTTATTATGAAAAATATATAATAAAGCTAAAAAACTAAAAATGTCCAACGTGCACCAGATAATGTTAATTTAGTAGGTACGCCGAACGTGTGTAAAAGGTCATTGGGTTCCAGTCCTTAACATAATTACCTACACCGAAATACCAGGTATAGATGGCAATCAAAAGATAATTCCTATTATTATATATAACAACTAGAGTGATGTTATAATGAGAATAAATATCATAGATAATATAAGAATATTATTATTATATTATCTATGATGAATATACAGGGCAAACATAAACTTGACAGAAAGGTGATATATTTATTTTAGAAATTCTGTTATCTTAGTTATCATAAATAAAAAGTGATATTTATTAATATTATGTTAAAAAATTCCTTGCCCATGTTTTTACTTATTATATTTAATGAAGTGTTATTATTATATTAAAAATGTATTTACCTATTTATAATAATAATATATGATATTGTAATTTGTTATATATATGTTCCTAATTTTATTTTAATCAAATAAAAGACTTAGGTAATTATGACTGTGTTCAATATAAATATTAATAAAAACGGATCTAATATATAGTTTTAAAAATAAAAAAAATTTGTATTAATTTATTGTTACATATGTTCAATTTTGCACCAACTTTAATAAAAGTAATAACTTCATATTTTTTAAAATGAATGCAGTATTTTTGTAAACTGTGTTTAAATCTCAACATCTATACCTTTAAAATGAGATCAGTAAGTTAAAAAAACAAGCAAATTGGTGTAAAGCGTGGTACTTAAGAATCTAATATATTTATTTATTATGCAATTGAAATACAGACAATTATAAATTAAACAAATTATGATATTTCTAGTAATACTAAAATTAGTTTAATGTTGATACCTACCTAGTTGTATTGGTCTTGACTTCTGGTGATTTTATAACTGATATGTTTTGATGGCATAATATAGAAATTAAATTAATACAAAACTTTATTTTCTTGTAAGCAGTGGCAGTAGTAAAATATTATTAAGATATTAGGCATTATGGGAGGTAAAGACCCTCCACATAAATCATGTAATTTGTAAATCATGATAAGTGTTTGCACCCATATAATTACATGTGTTTCTACCAAGTACTCATGTATGATTGTTTAAATGATTGAATGAACAAGTTTTTAGGTTACCTAGTGACTTTTAAAAAAAATTAATTTTAAACTCAGTTATTATTTTCATAGAAAGTTATTATCAAGAAAAAAAAAGCATAGGCCAAATAGCAGTTTTTTGACCCCTTAACTCTTGGGTGCATTCACTGAAGTAAATAGTTCAGTGGTGCACCATTACTATCAAACGTAAAATATGTCTTAACTACTATTCATTACTTCTTAATGAAATAATCTAAAGATTAATAAAATGTAATGATGTATAATGTATATAATAATTACCAAAGCACATAGCATTTTATTTATATTAATACAATTTTAGATTCTGAGTTGAGTGAGGAATGTATTGGTTTTACAATGAAGTTGATTTTTTTTTATGAGAACACTTTTTCTACTAGAAAGCATACTCCGATTATTAAGTATAGCACCTTTTCTGAAAAGAAATATTTTCTGGGTAGTACTTTGGAAATTCTCATTAATATTCGAAATTATGAGGTAAACCTGGTTCTTTAGGTTAAAAAAGATTGAAAGATTAAAAATAATGTTGTCATTGACAACCGTTTTTATTTATTCTTTGTCATTAAGTTTTTATTATTTTAATCTTTTTTTAAACAATCATTGTTGTAACCATTTTCCCATAGTATATTTTCTTGTTGAAAAAGTAACACTGTCAACTGAACTCAACTAAGAATCGTTTTTCATTAGCAATGGTTTATTGTTGATATAAACAGATATAAATAAAATTTCCATTTGTATCTTACCTTCTTAACTTCCCACTTATAACAGTGGCTGCATCCATATGCGAAGTATGTCAGTCCTTTTTTTAATATTATCTATACTCACAATTTTAGATAATATTATCTTAAATCGTGCCTATACCTAATATTCTTAGATAACAAATAATAAAATAACTAAAAACAATGAAAGTTGTAGGTATAATATTAGAGTAACCATTAAAATACACAATACACTCAAATGCTACTGCAATTAAATAATTCAGTACAGATTTTTTTTCTTGTAATAATATTACTAGAGCCTTCATCTACAACTCATTTATTTTAAAAAACTGGTTTTACAAAATTCAAGTTAGGTATTCTATAAATATGTTTTGAAACTGCATTTTTGTGTTGGAAATATTTCCCTAGTTATGATAAATTATAAATTTTCTTCTATTTGTTGAAGTTCATAAAAATCATTAACCAAATTATTTTCTTATACTAAAATTGGTGAATTAATTTATATTATTCATCAGTGGCAATGAAAACAATTTAAATTATTGTTAAATTTAAAAATTAAAAAAATAATAAATGTATAATTATATACATTTACTATTATATTACATATAATTATAATAGTTTCTTGTATTTTATAAAAAAAATTTAAGTTTTAAATTAATATATTTAACATAAAAATCATGGTGCTTTGACAAAAAATTAAAAATATTGAACAGAAATATGTTTGCATTAATCATATCTCAATAGATACTTTAGTTTTAATATTAAAATATATTATAAATTTTTGTTTTTTTCAAAAATTATTTAGTCTAATTCTAGAACTACATTAGAGGATTATAAGATTTTTGGGTTAATAACATAATACAGTCATTAATTTTGAAAACTCATCATGTAAATGATTTATTTTAAATCTAGAGATAAAATAAATAAAATCAAAGAATCAATTGGATGAAGAAACAATACATAATAAAAACAAATATTTTAATATATATTATAGTAAAACAAAAAAAAAAAAGAAAAGGAGTTATCAATTAATAGATATTCACAATAATGGGTATTTAAAGATCTATCATTAAAATCATCCATATAAAAGTATAAGTTTGTTAGGCTATGGGGATATTTAATAAATATACGAATTAAAAACTACAGTAATTTAAATCAAATAATTAATAATATAAAACTTATGTGATAGAACTTAAAATAATTTTAATTTAACTCTTCTATATCATTGTCTTCAGTTTTATCAATTTGGGAATTTTCAACATCAACCATCATGTTCTCATTTTTCATAGTTTGGTTATCTACAATTTCTATATTTGCATTTGATAAAATATCAATATTTTGAATATTAACATTTGCATCTACAGTTTCTTTCCCAGCATTCGAAAGCATCATAATTTCATTTAATGCGATATCATTAGCTTTAATCAGTGTCCTTTCAACATCTATAGCTTCCTTTTCACCAATATCCATATTTTTACATAATACAGCTTTTCTGACTTCAATATCAACTTCTTCATCTTTCATGCTCTTTATAGGTTCAAATTGCAAACTATCAGTCTCTACAATATCTTTAGATTCAATATGTACATTTGCAGCTCTTAAAATATCTTTGTCATTATTTGGCATCATTTTATTTTTTGTGTCCTCCAAGTTTTTGATTTGAACATCATAGGCTTCTACATTTTTGAGTTCAGTTTGTATATTTTCTGAGTTTGCAGTATATTTTTTATCAATTGACATACTTTCATCATTTTTTTCAACTATGGCTTCAATTCGCATATTAATAGCTTCTTCCATATCTCTGGGTTCAGTTTCTACATTTTTAATAATTACCATATCTTTTTCATCAATTTGCATACATGCATCTTTAATCTCTTCTATAGATCCAATTTGCACTTTAATAGTTTCTGCTGTATCTTTAGGTTCAATTTGAACATTTTCAGCACTACAAGTATCTCTATCATCAGTTGAGAAAAGCTCATCTTTTATCTCCTCCAAGACTTCAATTAGCACATTATCAGCTTCTGCAGTATCTTTGAATTTGGTATGTCCAGTATCTTTTTCATCAATTGCCATAATTTCATCGTTTACCTCTTCTATAGATCCAATTTGCACTTTAACAGTTTCTGCTGTATCTTTAGGTTCAATCTGAACATATATAGCACTACTAGTATCACTATCATCAGTTGAGAATAGCACATCTTTTATCTCCTCCAAGACTTCAATTAGCACATTATCAGCTTCTGCAGTATCTTTGAATTTGGTATGTCCAGTATCTTTTTCATCAATTGCCATAATTTCACCTTTTCTCCCTTCTATGGAATCAAATTGCACATAATCAGTTTTTTCCATATCATCAGATTTAGTTTGTTCACTTTCACTTTTACTTTCATTTTCAATATCAAAATCTGCACTATATTCATCATAAGTTAGGAACATTTCTTTATATTTTTTTGATTCCTCTAAGAGTTCAATTGTGGAATCATTAATTTCTATTATATCAAAAGGATAAGTTTGAACATTTTGAAGTAAATCTTTATTTTGCCAACTATTTGGAAAACTGTTTTCAGATGGCATATATTCATTGTCTTCAATGTTCACAGATTCAATTTTAAAATCTCTTATTGGTACATAATTTACCCTTTCATGTGTAATACTTTCATTTGAATCAGTTTCTGTGTCTGTTTCTATAGAGTCATCACCGGAAGTCTCTATGTCATCAATTTCTGAATCATCATTTGATAGATCTTCCGTATTTATTTGCATACATTGGACATCCAAAGTTTCTATGGGTTCCTCTTTTATATTTATAGCCATTTCTACATCACTTTCTTCAGTTTCAATATTTGCAATTGAATAAGCCTCTATGGTCATTGGAATATTTTCGTCATCTGTTATGGTCATTGGAATATTTTCGTCATCTGTAGTTTCAGAGGGTACAATATTCATGTTTTTAGCCAATTCTACATCACTTTCTTCAGTTTCAATATTTGCAATTGAATAAGCCTCTAAGGTCATTGGAATATTTTCGTCATCTGTAGTTTCAGAGGGTACAATATTCATGTTTTTAGCCAGTTCCACATCACTTTCTTCAGTTTTAATATTTGCAATCGAATAAGCTTCTATGGTCATTGGAATATTTTCGTCATCTGTAGTCTCAGAGGGTACAATATTCATATTTTCAGCTATTAAATTTTCGTTCTCATAATTTCCTGTACCTTCATTGGATATAGAATCTGTGTTGACTCGAAAATATTCATCATCTGAGGATCCAAGTACAGATAAATCGTCATCTATATCTCGATCGAAAGGATATTCATCTTCAATTTCAATATTTCCCTGTGATAGAACATCTTCTCGCTCATCATCATCTTGCTCTTCTTGTTCATTTGACGAAACATCTGAAGTATCATTTGGTTCCATTTTCACTTGTTTAGCCAAGAAGTCTCTCCCTTCATTGCTTATATTTTCCTGAGATACAACATCTTGCTCTTCAATTGTGATATCTCTATTTAATTCAGGTTCTATATTTGGTTGATTAAAATGGTAATATGAAATATCCATTGGTTCAGTTTTAACTTGTTCATCCAGAAAGCTTCTCATTCTAATTCCTCTATTATGCTGGGATACAACACCTTGTTCTTCAATTATAATATCTCTATTTAATTCAGGTTCTGTATTTGGTTGATTAAATTGATAATAAGAAGTATCAATTGGTTCAGGTTTCACTTGGTTAGTCAAAAAGTCTCTCCCTTCATTGCTTATATTTTCCTGAGATACAACATCTAGCTCTTCAATTGTGATATCGTTATTGAATTCAGCTTCTGTATTTGGTGGATTTAATTCATCAAATGAAGTATCAATTGGTTCCGTTTTAATTTGTTTACCCAGAAAGCTTCTCATTCTAATTCCTCTATTTTCCTTGGAAACAACACCTTGCTCTTCAATAATTATATCTCCATTTAATTCGGCTTCTGTATTTGGTTGATTAAACTGGTAATAAGAAGTATCAATTGGTTCAGGTTTCACTTGGTTAGCCAGAAAGTCTCTCTCTTCATTTCTTATATTTTCCTGGGATACAACATCTTGCTCTTCAATTGTTATATCATTATTGAATTCAGCTTCTGTATTTGGTTGATTTAATTGGTCAAATGAAGTATCAATTGGTTCCGTTTTAATTTGTTTACCCAGAAAGCTTCTCATTCTAATTCCTCTATTATGCTGGGATACAACACCTTGTTCTTCAATTATAATATCTCTATTTAATTCAGGTTCTGTATTTGGTTGATTAAATTGATAATAAGAATTCTCTATGGACTCGATTTCCATTTGTTTACCATCCTTTTCAGTTATGGATTCAAGTAGTACATTGTCTTCTGATGCAGCTTCTATGGTGTTTGATTGAATGTTTTGGTCCTTCATGAATTCTATTGGTTTAACTTTCAATCTTTTAATCAATTTATTATCTTCCTCTTGAATTACCATTTTTCTTTTGGACACAATGTCTCTTTTTTCAATTTCCATATTTTCATTTGAAACAGTGTCTATTATTTTAATTGGAATAATTGAAACATCAAATATATCTTCATTATCTTTATTTCCAGTATTGATATTAGATAAATTATTTATGAATTTAGGTAATACATTTTCTGATGAAACAACTTCTATATTGCCAAGTAAAATATTTTGATCCTCCATAATATCAGTGGATTCAGCATTCATTTTTTCACCTAGTTCAATTTCTTTTAATATAAATTCTATGGTGTTAGATAGAATATTTTGTTCCTCCACAAAGTCAGTAGTTTTAATATTCATTTTTTCACCTGAATCAATTTTACTTGAATCATCTTCCATGGTGTTAGATAGAACATCTTGCTCTTCCATAATATC